AATATCATTTTAATATATTTATTTGGGAATTTTACTGAGATTAAGTTATGATATGCATTTGTTTATTAGGCTATGATTTCATTAAGGTGGCACTATCATTTTGTAATGATAATTTTTGCGTGTAGGAAAATTTGTATTTTTTTTCGATAGATTTTTATTAGGATTTAATGAAGGTGGTCAGTAATAGTACATTCAGGATGTTTTGTGTTGGCTGGGTGAAAATCTTTTACTATATTGACAAATAGTTTTTCAATATTATAGTAAATATTAAAATCATGAACAGACAGGGATATTTAAACAAATAAAAAAAATAGAGATGATCAGATTATTTAAAAGTAGAGATTATCAATAACAGATTAAAACCTAAAGTAACAGTGATGAATCTCCTGTAAAGTCACTCTTATTGATTTGTCAGATTTTTCTGCAGTTTTGTTTGGAATGGCAAATGCATTTCTACTGTCTTCATTCGCTGTTATTTGACAGATTCAAATTAGTTGTACAACTAAGTGCTGATTCCCCCCATCTGTGGCTAGGATCCCAGACACAGATTAAGCCTAAATCTAGATTAGAATTTCCCCTAGTGATTCACAATTGGTACTTCAGGTTATTTCAAGTCTAGGCTGGACTGATAACTTAATTATGTGATGATGTGTACAGCAAGTTCAGAATAAATTTCAATATGTGATAACAATTACACTATGGCTGCTAATATGCATAAATTATATTACTGGTAGAATCAGCAGTTTGTATATTAAAGTGAAGCACAATTGAAGGCACGATTGAAATGTTTAGAGCAGAGGAAAAGCAAGTTCGCCTTCTGACTATAGCTTCCCTCTCTCCTCTCTTGTCGTGTTTGCAGAAAAGAATGGCCCTCTCTGAATGGAATAGCATTGACAGTGATGATGATGATGAGAATAAGGACAGCTAGAAAAGTGTCTTACATTGTCATCTGAATTCCTCAGGGCATTTATGAGATCACTTTTGTGCCAATTAGCCCACGATACAGGCTGTGTAACTGCCTATAGTAAACTGACAGAATGTTGGAACAGTGAAGATGTTGTCTGCAGTAGATTAGGTGTAATATGGGTATCTGTGCATGTACAGTTTACTGTTTCACAAGAACGTATCTGTTTTGTTTTATCTTTCAATTTTATTGCAATTTTATTTGTTTTCTTTTATGTTTCCTTCTGTCCTCTTATGTTCATTCATACCTCATCCTACCTTCCATTTATTTCCCCTCTTCTGAATAAAGTCATTTCAAAAGGCATGTCTCTTCATTTACCCCTCCGGCTCCATGTTCACCACTGTCATAATTATTGATTATGCATTCCTTTTATGGATATAACAATACAACATTCATTGTTGTATTATGACTAGTTTGTTTATAATGTTGAATGTTCTTATAAAGTGATAATAGAAACATTAACATAATGCAGCCAGTTCTTATTTTTGCTGTATCAAAATGAGACAAAACTGTATGGTAGCGAACTCAATAATGGATTTTCTGACCCTCCTAATTCTTTTATTTTGTTGCATTGTAAAAGTAGCAACAGAACTGAGTGCGTATTTAGTAAGTTACCTTACCTTCACTTGCAACTACTGCGGGAATTTTTTTTATTTTGGGTTGCTTTTACGGTTTGTGCTACGTCATCAAACTGTTTTCAGTTTCCCTCTGGCTATCCCCCCTACACCACCACCTTCATCATCACCATCATCACATCAACATCTTGTTGAGCCACACAGTTTCAAATAGGTACTATTATAAAATCAGTTTCAAAATCTAGTAGGGAAGTGGGTTTTGTTTCTGTACTGGACATGTCAGGTCACTTTTATGTTTTATTAATGTTTAACTCTGTGTTTTATATTTCAGAAAATTGAAAATGGACGATTTGCAAAGTACAGATACTTCGCTCATGCCAAGGTGAACGAGTCCGATTTCCTGATGATCACGAAAAGGTACGCAGCTGTGCTGTCGCTAAAAATGTAAATAAAGCTAATCAGTTCAGCTCTGTCTTTTGTAATTCCAAATGTAAGTCATCACTCTCCTGTATCTGCAGGGGGATATTTTTTGTTACTAAGGGCACTTTTGGTCAGTTGACCTGCGAGTGGCAGTATCTGTTCGACGAGTTCACCAAAGATCCTATGATTGTAGAGGAAAGACGACTGCGTATTGAGGCAAAGGTACATGAATACATGCACTGCCCTTCGCAAAGTCAATAAATTGAAATAGCAGAATTATTTAATTTTCTATCCTTAATCATACAAATGCATAGAAAACTGACCCAAAATTATGCTTTATATGCAGTATAAAAGTAAACATGCAATGCAGCTCATTTTCAGTTCAGCTCAATTACAGTTCCCAGTTCCAATTATGGTTTGAAATTGAATCAGTGACTGATTTTTCTCAAATGAATGACTTTCAATTACTTTCTCTCACAGGAAAGAGTTAAGTCTGTGTTTCATGCCAAAGAGTTTGGAAAGATCATCAACTTTAAGACTCCAGAAATAGCAAAGGTATGAGAACAGTTCCACTTTGCTCAAACAGTAAACAGTAAATAAACACTTTTGGCACCAATTGCTTTCGTATAACTTCTGGCATCAGAGGTACTTCAGTTTAATGCAACACAGTGTCATTTAGTTATATCCAGTATGTAAAAGGAAAGTGATTTGGAGTGGGACAGTGCAAATATCTGGCTGGACAATGATTTGAGAGGCTGTCTTGAGCTTCGTGAGACTGTTTATCCATACTGACGTTTTATTGTTTTCCACAGTGGGTCCTAGCCAAGCTTCAAGATGCGAGAGAAAGTTTGCCAAAATAGCCCCAGCATGGACGGTAGCCTTAAGAGAACCTGAGATCACAAATACACACAGACCACCTCTCCTCCCCTTAGTGTGTGCCTTTACTTATATGCAAAACAACACTAAACAGACTGTGCGTTGGTCACTCAAAAAACTGTATTCGTACCATACGTTATAGTGACTGTTAGAGGTATGCATGTGTGTGTACACTTAATTGTTTACATTTCTTCTTTTTAGTCACTTTGGCAGCGCAGTCACTGGGTCGAATACCTTGTTTGCATTCAAATATACCAAAACTCCCATTTTATTTAAGCAAAGCTTACATTTTAGTTTGTGAAGGGACAGTCGGAATGGAGAACAAGAAGGAATGTTCATTATTTAGTGGAATGGTTAGGAAGTACTGTAAAGGAACAACAAATTTTACATTTTAAGTGTTAAGCACATATTGGTTAGTCGCTGGTTACATGGAGTTACGTGATTGCAGGTGAACAGAGAAGCGTTTCCCCAGCTCAGTAATTGTTGTGAGCCTTAACATCTGAACTCCATATAACATTCCATCCGTACTACAGCCAAGTAATATTTATTCATCATACAATTTCATCAATGTATTCATCAACAAAACACTACTTACTGCTCCTTTCAAGGCATCCCCACACAAAGCCATTCAGATTTTATATGTGGAGAAGATAAAGACCAATGTATGTATGTATGTATGTATGTATGTATTAACGGGGAACATAAGTAAGAAGTTTAACTTGACCAAGAATGTCTGAAAACAGCTCGGTTTGATGTGCTCTACAGGGGACATTACATGAATATTTTTGTACTTGTTGCTTTTGCATGAAAACATTTCTGTTGGCCATTGTGTGTATAAATGACACTGTTTACAGCTTCTCAACAGTATTGTACTGTAAATATTTAGTGGCTTTGGTACTTACTGTTGATTTATTCTCAGCCTTTCTATGCAGCTTGTACTGATATACTGTACCTTTAACAAATGATACATAAGGGATGACAAATATGCAATAATAATTATCCTTTCAGTGGAGCTAATGAATTGTTTTCTGAAATATTTGTCAGTTATTGCACTGGTAATAAGGCAAAACAAAACCACTGGATATGATTTCAATGTTATCCTGTAATTTTTAACTGAGTATGCATACTGAATAAATGTATTTTGATGAATGTTGTTTGGTTAGTACAGTAATGGTCTTCACTGTAGTTAACAGTAAAGTTTAAGATCACTAGGTATTATTTATTGAATCTACATATATCATTCAGTTTAAATACAGAGAAGGAATTTTAAATCTGCTTAGTTTGTGTAAGCAAATATAATCACACATTACATTAACGATACATAATTTTATACACCAAAAAGCAATTACTATTTTCTTAAACGTAGGACATAAATATGGTTTTATATTTCCAAAAAGACCCATTTTGGTTCATTTTCAACAAAACAAAAAACTTCAACAACACAACCTTTTTTTAGAGTTTTATTTTTTTCCCTCCTGTGTATAGTTTATAGGCATTTTAACTTCCCTACCTAGATTAACTTTGGCTCCATTATAAAGCTGAAAACATTCAAAACCTTCCAGTACTAATTTCAAGAAACCTACATTATCATTTAGACTAAATATATATATATATATATGGCTGCTTGCAATTCAGTTCAGTGCAACTTAGTTAAGGCACATCAAGAGCATTTTGTAACTAAAGTTCATTTGTACATTCAGATTATTATAAATGTAAACTTTGCCCTGATTTTTGCCCATCAGTCAGTCAAAAAGTGCCAAGGTTGACTTTTTTTTCAGGTTTGATCAACCACCTTAGCAATTCTTCACAAGTACCATTTGTGAGGGACAGGGAATACATTTCTGAACATATCATGCCCCCTGCTTTTCCTAATCACCACTACGTTCAGAGAAAACAAATAATAAGTATTTCTGAATTATCTAGTCTGTTATGGGATCAAACAAGGACCCATAAAGAGAATGCTTGTTCACACTCAGAATAAGGCCACAGTGAAATGTGAACTCAAACAGATCTTTATCAGGCCTCTCTTGCTGGCCAAGTCCAGATTCAGCCCTGGAATCCCTCCCATACATGCTTCTGAAGATTTTAGCCAACCACAGAGAGAATGAAAGAAAATGTAATAGCTCTGCACGGTCAGAGGAAGGGATTAAAACAGAGTTCCAGAGTGGAGGTTCAAACCTGGTTTAGACTAGATTGAACTCTTTCAAATTGTGTCTGAGGATGGTGTCCTTCACTGCAGCAAAGACGAAGCGGATGTTCTCTGTGTCGGTAGCGCAGGTGAAGTGGGAGTAGATGGTCTTCTCTCGGTCTGGGTTCTGCTCCTGGTACATCTTCAAAATAAATTCCTGTGCTGCTTTGGCATCATGCTGAGGACCTAGGTACAGATCAAAAACAGACCAAAATGTAGTAAAATAAGCTTAAAAAATGGCGTTGATAAATATATTAAATATAAATGCATTTATTTTAAAATGATGCAAGTTTTCACCATTCTGAGTTCCTCCCTTGGTTCCCCTGAGCCTACCAATCAAAACATTCTCCTACAGAAATCACTTATCTTGATTTAGATGTCAGTAGTGCAGTGGCAGTGAGCATGGGTATAAAAGGCAGGCTTATCTACAGTGCTGCTGAAAAGAATTCCATGAAACTGTGGTTCTTAAAATATGTTTATGATTCAAGACTGTTACAATGTGTCTAATATACAATTACAAAGCCATCATAAACTAATAAAGTAAATACATATCTAATTTTCATTAAAATGTTATACAATCCACTGACAACCTACTATCTTCACATGAGAGAGTTAATAATGAGCAAATGTTTTCCACAGAACCATAGTGTGAATTTGTCTTGAGAGCCCAACACTAGTGACATCAGCATGCTTAGTCTCTAATCTGTCTTCATTATGACTGTCAGTACCAGCGTTACTACTGCTGCAATCATTCGAAACCCCCACAATCAGTAAGTAAATCACTGATTACCTGTAAACTCTGGAAAGTAGTTGGCAAGGTGGGAATAGGTGATCTTCTCCGCCAGAATATCTGTCTTATTCAGGAAGAGAATGACCGAGGACTGCTGGAACCATGGATACGTGATGATGGTCTTAAAAAGAGCTTTACTCTCCTCCATACGGTTCTGGAAACCAGTAAATACAAGAACACATATGAGCCCAGACACCACTAATTAGTTTAACTAATTCGTTTTACATTAGTTATTAACAGTTGAGTGTAGAGCTGATAGTGGACAGATGGGTTGTTTTCATGAGGAACTGACCTCATTGTCACACTCTGCAAGGACTTGGTCGTACTCGCTCAGTGCCACCAAGAAGATGATGGAAGTCACGTTCTCAAAGCAGTGGATCCACTTCCTGCGCTCTGACCTCTGACCTCCAACATCAACCATCCTAATTGCATGAAAAGGTGACTCAAATTAGAAGAATCCCTTTTGTTGTTCGTTAAGTATGGATTTAGTTAATTGCTTCTACATAGACCACCTTGGTACATTCACTTTCATTGTTTGTTCTGCGCTTCACTATTGTTGAACAAAAGCTTTAAAGACAGCTACATGATATTATAACACCATCTGCTATTTGGGCCTATGTTGAAGGCCAGAGAAGAGCAGGCTCCCACCTGAAAATAACATTTTCCAGGTCGAACGGGTATTCAATGATGCCTGTGGTGGGGACTCGTACCCTCAGGATGTCCTGTTCAGTGGGTACATACCCTGGATTTGCAATCCGCTCCAGGTCACTCAGGTAACTATGGCACATGACATGAGGAACACGAAGAAACACATGAGTCGTTGATAATATGTATTGTTCTTTTTTTTAAAGAATGGCATAATAAGAACAGTGCCGATATTGAAATTCACATTGCGTTGTCTCCATCAAGATAACAGACCCACAGTAATGACAGAACTGTATAATATTTACTAATACATGACTGGACTGACTATTTGGCAGAGTCAGATAGTTGATATTCTCGGCGACGGTCGTAACATTCCTGAATTCCTTGGTCGCTCCACAGACTGCGGATGGCCTCCACATAGCTTTTGTCCAACTCCATCACCTTATCAACCTCCAACTCGTTCAACAAATTAGCATAAACCTACAAAGACACATACACATCAGTAATCAGACAAGGAATCGGTGTTCAGCTATGTTTCAGTGCAGTAAAGACGTTGTATGGTTAAAGACTGGAGTACACTGCAAATAAGGAAGGGAGGATATGGTTACATTCCCAAATAATAATGATTCTTTGTTAGTTTCATTGTAAGGATGGGGCAGTTACCAGATTTGATGGTGCACCGAACAGTACACATTAGTAATGTTTGTAATAATTTCATATTCATTTAAATTGTTCTCAATAATTTTGGTATTATAACGGAGTAAGAGTGGTTCGATATTCCTATGTTGAAAGGAACTGTATTAGTATTTTCAAACATTTTCAAAATATTGTAACAATACCAGAATAATACCATAAAACCTGCACAATTTTTGTCACTGAGAACAGAGTACAGGAGATTTTCTTACTGTCCCATATCTATTTTACGGTGTATATGAAAAATGATGAGCACCAGTGCTGCTTTTAACAACTGAATGTGTGTCTGGTACCTGATTCTCGGAATTAGAGAACGATATCTTCAGCATCTCCATAGCTCTGATCATGGACTGCATGGCGGTAACAATGTTCTGGAACACCAGCTTCGTGAAGCTTTTTTTGTCCTCTTCAGTGTAGCCAGAGCCATGAATGATGCGCATCTGTTTGATAAAGGTGCTCTTCCCACTCTCCCCCGTGCCTGAGAAAGGGAGAGAAGGAGGTAAAGTCTCAGATGAGTGCTTTGTCTTCTGTGTCCTTAAATACTTTCAAAGGAATGTAACATTTAAGAGCTCAAATCATGACATGAAGCATTTCTTGCTTATCTGTCTGATTAAAAAAAAGAGCAAACATTTACATACCCTGGTACAGTAACCAACTACTAGCGCTACATTTCTTTGAAGGCTTTGAATGAACAGGACATATGAAAGTGGCTGCTTGTATCTAGCCCACTTCCCTTGTGTATATATTTTTCCTTGGAGAAGAACAAACAGTGTTTCTCTTCAGCAGTTTGGCTAGCACAGTGACATGACTAAAATGATTGTTAAGCTGAGTGGACTTTCAGTTCTAGGCTCCAGTGTTGGCTAGAGCTGATTAAATAAACAACAAACTGCATATAGTTAATACAGACGTTTCTACTGACAGCTCGTAACAGTTATTGAGTATTGCTAAAACAACATTTGTGATAAGAAAACATTTTATAACCTCAGCAACAGCAGGAGCCACATCAGCACACAAAAATAGAGACAAAGTGGGATTTAACTGATAGTTAATGTAAATTACTCACTTTTATTAACAGAAAACCAAGGATGCAGCCTGTGATAATAAAGCCAAAGAAGAAATGAAAGTTGTTAGAAAGAAACGAAGAGGTTTAGTCAAAGAGAGAGGGAGAGAGAAGAAGAAGAGGAGGAAGCGGAGAGGGGGATGTGCTTTACTGATGTCTTGTTTAAATAGAAGGCTTGGTAGGACATCTGTCTCAGCCCTGGCTGTGACCATGGAATCGTTTACAGCTACTGCAGCCACGGAACGGCAGTCAGCCAGAAGGACAACTTGGGAAGGTTTCTTCTAGTGATGGTGCTGTTTATTTATTTATTTATTTATTTATTTTTTATTTTCTTAAACAGAAAGCTTGAGTATTCGTTTTTTTTCCATTGTATAATTGGTTTCAAAACTAATGTCCTTTAAAATTTTCATTGTACGATGGTCATCTAAAATTGCTGTATTCAAACTGCTCAAACCAACACTATTTTTATCCTGTTGGTGTTGATCTGATACCAATACTAGTTAGAGCTGGGCGATATGGCCAAAAATGTTATCACGATAAACAAAATTCATATCAGACAAACACTCAAACAGTGGAACATTTCACAGATCTGTCATGGGAGAGTGGGAGAAAGTGTCTGGTGAGCTGTTTTTATCAGCTGGAAAAGCATGGCTATTTTGTAATAGTCATAATTTAAGAAAGAAAACAGATTATTTTTAGCTGGTGATGAGCGCTCAGCTACCCCGCTACAAATGACATCACAGTATTCAGACACCAGCTAGCGACGACTGGATATTCAATTGTAGTAGTTTAAGGGGTGAACCGCAAAATATCAACACCAGACAAACAGAGTCCTCCTTTTAGGTACGTTTAAACTGAAAGCGGTGCTTTTGTGTCGTGTTTGATCTACAGTATCATCAATTCTCCGTGTTTTGGAGTGACAGAGCGCTGCTTCAAGTTGGCCAGCTGCTAAAAACAGCTAGCCTGGAAAGATAGCGATCTCCTGCTCTTCAATGCCTCACAGCTTCCTCAGTTTACTTTCGTTAAATCGGAGCTGTAATTTACATGAACCCACTTCTTTCTTTCACTTTCGTTGCTTGGGAATGCACTCATACTAAATTATGACTGTCCGAGCGCTGCAACAGCTCTGTAGTTGTGAGGATTGTGATTGTGATTTAACGCTGCTAAAGCTGGTTAGGATGTACAGAAAGAGGTGAGTTCGCTGTAGGACAGTACAGTTACACCACTGACCTCATCACTCACACTCGGTGACAGGAGAGCAGATTGCCGGTCGCTCCACTCAAACAGGGGATGTGTAACTCCGCGTTTCAGCCGTTGCTAAAGACTCATCTTACTCGTGGCCCCCTCCCTCTCTAATCATGTAGTAGTGTCGCCTTCCTTGCAGTAGAAAACGCCTCCAAGGCTTTCGCTGAACGTGGGAGTGTGAGAATGGTGTATTATATCGAACATTTATCGAACATGTCGTATCGCTCTATCGAGGAAAAGTTATATCGTGATAATTATCGTTATCGTTTTATCGCCCAGCCCTAATACCAGTACTAGATTGGTACCAACGGTAGTATTTACAGCTTTCAAACTGTAGTCTGATCGAATGGGACACAATACTGGTAATCAATAAGTGATATCTTTTCATTCTAATGAAAATCTCTTTATATTCACCTATATGGAGTCAGACATATAGTATTCTACAGAAGTCAGAGACCACACTTTGTTAATTTAATTTCCAGTCAAAAACGATTAAATAAAAATATTTATGTTTTAGCATCAGGAAGAAAAGCAGAAAACATAAACTAAGCCTAGTTTTTGCAAGACCACAATTGGCTGCGTAGCATTTGTCACACAAGCAACTGGCATTTCAATAACAAGGAGGCAGTCATTCATGTAGGATCCAAAACATATCATTTATCTTTCTAATTAAAAGTTCTCCTCTTATCTCTGCAACTGTTCCTGCCTGCTAGATTGAAATGTGGCTAGCTAAGCGCAGAATACACGTAATCTATATAACAGATAAATATGGCCAGTAGCTATGTAAACACATTCATGCCACAATATATCCCCGCAGCCTTTCAATTAAGTTACTGCAATAACTATGTGTGGCGGTATGCATGTTTATTAAAAAGTTAACTCTTACAAGTATGTTACTTTCTGAATTTCTGAGATCTCTTAGTCACAGACCGAGTTATGACATTAGAAAGTCTATCACCTCTGAAGAGCCCAAACTGACAAAATCACATTTTAAGATTCCACTGCATTACATACAGGTTTTATTTAACCCACAGGACACAATTTAAGTGATAACAATCTGTTACTGTATTTATAACTCTTTTTAAGACCTGCAAACATTGTCCCAAATAAATTAAACCTTTACATATCGCTGTTGTTGGAAGAAAACCTTGTATCTCTAAAATGGGAACTTTACAGAAGAAGGAAAAAACTACTTTACTTTTAATGTAATTCAAGCCATTTTGGGCCGTTTCTTTTGGTCCATTCATCAGGAAATTTACACACAATGTAAAGGAAAACAGGCATTTTGAAATTATATCTAAAACTGGAAAACGTCAAAAATAGAGATACTTTTGTTTCTGACAGCAGTGATATGCATATTAAATGAATATATCATTTTAAAAGTTACAATAAATAACAATATTATACTTTAAGCTTTCTTTGCAGGCGCTTTCTCTCATTACACTCTCACTTTCACTTTTGGTTCTGGACTGGTTATAAAACAATCACTGATCAGTTACTCCATGTTAACATGAATAGGATCACTCAACAATCTGACAGTACTCGCGCTGTTCTCTTTTTCTACCGTGCTGTGAGGCCAATCAGCTGCACACACACTAAACACACACAGAGCCCACAGAGCACTGATAATAGCCTGTTAATGAAGCAAGATTTATTTATTTATTTATTTATTTTAATTTGAGGGTTGTCCCATTTCGTAGGGCAAGATTTCAACCACTACCCCTTGTAACTCAGTTCCGAGGGGTTAGGGTAACACTCGAAAACAAGGGGTAGGGGTAAAAAGAAGAAATGGGATTGGGCCTTTTCCTCACTTTTAGCCAGCTAGACTTGAAGAAAGACTTATCTGAATGGTAACATGATGCACTTTTATCCCTTTTTTCCCAGTGAAATGATGGTGTAAGAAAAGCGATAGCAACACAGATGCTCATAGGCTAGCCTGCTAACCAGCATTTCACTTTGCCTATATCTTAAAAAAAATGTTAAAAACATGTTAAAATCAAAAAAGATTCCTCTGACACTTTTGGCTTTTCTGCAAAACATTAGTTAGTATCTTCTGACTGGTTTCTGCAGACTGACACACATATTTCAAGCACACACACACACACACAAAAAACAGCACAACTTTAGCTAACCTACCTCGCGTCTTTGCAGCTGTTTCTGACACACTGCTTGCTAGCTAATGTTAGCTAGACTAAAATCTACACTCTTTGCACCGTCACGTTTCAACAAGTGGCCCAGTCAGTCAGTGAAAATGCCTCTTCTAGGCCAGCAAAATTACATGGACACCTCAACAACTAAATATAATATCACACTTTTCAGTATTTCATGTGTTTACTCTTCGCCTTTGTTGTGAGAGGTGTCTTCACTTTATTTTAAAAGTTCTCACAGTGGAAGGATGGACAGAACCACCTGTAGATTTTTTTAGATCTGAAGCAAGAGTGGAGCTTTCTTCTCAAATATGAAAGTGCTGTTTATCTGATGGTGACAGTTTTGGTGGTCTACCAGGTCTCGCACAGTTGCATGGTTATCTCTTGAAAAATTAGCAACTTGTACTTAATGGCCATTTTGACTAGAAGTTAAAGAAACGAAGGGTGGCCACTGACTTTTGAACAGTGCTGCATGCATGTTTGTCTTGGTTACACTCCATCTGCAAAACGGATCGATCTCATGTGGTACTGTATTAGCTGTGGGGAAAGTGAAAACCCCAGCTCTCTCTCTCTCTTTCTCTCAGATTTATCACACATAAAAAATATCTAAACTGATATAACTCTGAATCTTCTATCCAAAGCACACACTAGCAGCATGCATACTAATAACCACACCTTACACACCTTATGTAAGTCTCATCAACGTCAAATGTCAAAAGAAATAGCAAAAAGATTAACAAAACAAAGATGACACAGTTTACTACAACACCCAGTGATCGATATAGAAGAAAACACAATAGTTGCTCCAAAATAGTAGTGGCAAAGTATAACATCCTGCATGCAGACTGATAGCCTGTACTATTTGTTAAACAAATTGTGTTGGTTAGTGTGTAGATGTGCCTGTGGATGTGCCTGTAAATTTATGTGTGTGCATTTATACATGTGTGGGTGCTTTACTGGAAGTAATTTTACAAGTGAAACACAGACAACCAGACAAGCCATACGGAAAACAAGGTAACGTTCCATGCAAAGTCTTATGATCTTGAGTTAAGAAGATACACTGCGATATTCAACACACAAGATTTTGTTATCATGGACACTTTGAAATAACATCACTGCATTTTTGTCACACAAGTTAGTAGTTTTAGTTTCGCAGGTTCCCACTACATTGTTCCATTACAATGATTTTTTTCACTTTATTTGATGCTTGTATAGGTGTTTTATTCAACTGAGCGCCTTCACAGCTCATGGTAAACGTCACAATGCTATCCTTTCACACTCAGTGTGCTAGCTAGTCTACCACCCAGCCCAAAAACACTTATGGGAAACCAAAGACATCATGCTCATATAGAAAGAAAAAACAGGATAACAAAAATGAATGAAGAATACTGCGCTGTTCTATAAAGAGATACAAGTGTTTTTCCAATATTGAAATCCTAAAATGAATGAACACCATGCATAAATGACATTCAGAACACTATACGTATGTACCTGTATTGCTTAATCATGCACTTTTTTTTATTACAATATCGCAATTATGGCGTAAACCATGATTAACTGTAGATAATTTAATTAACATATCACTGCTGTCGATATGTATCTCTATCTTGTATCTCCAAAATGACAACTTTACAGGAGAAGGAAAAAACATACTTTACTTCTAATGTAAGTCAATGGAACCAGACTTTTTTCCCAAGTAATTTTGGATCATTTCTTTTGCTCCATTCATCAAGAAATGTACACACAAAGTAAAGGACAACAGGCACTTTCAGATTATGACAAAACCTGAAAAACATCAAAAATGAAGATACGAGGTTTTCTTCCGACAGCAGCGGTATACATTTTAATACATTAGCATGTGTGTTTGTGTGGCCTATTTTTTTTATTTATAAAAATGATTCTACACATTTCTAATAACTGCAAGGCTATTGCAGTGTGTTGACTCCCACTGAACGATACAAATCTATGTGATTTGACATTGAAATCTCTTTAGGTGGCCTTCATCCTTGCGCTGCTTCTTTGCATGAATTAGCATTCGCACAGTGAATTTCCAAGTGACACTGCGATGCTTCGCACAAATGAAAATGACCAGATTTGAATCCATTTGGCTGCCGAAGTCAGGCAAGAATTCTTCTGGAATGCTTTGTAGTGTCAGGAACAAACTCTCAAGATACACTCTTGTAATGTGCATTACGTTCATGAGCGCTCAGAGAAAAGCAGTTGAATGACTGATTAATTAACGACGACTTCCAGAAAGTGAGGCCCTAATCTAGTTGATCTGTTCCAGACAAAAAAAAACCCTGCTTGACCACTGCTCTACTGCACATAGGGGCAACATAGATGTTGGTAGATGCTGAGGCCTATCTCATTTCCTGTTTGAGGGGTAAGTATTTCCTGTTTAAACAAAGGGCATTTTCATGACTGTACTCTGAAAGTGTGATTTCAATGCTTTATCCTATAAGGAAGGGTATGAGGACTATAGTCATCCCATACATTTCAAAAACGTCCGTTTATACTGCAAGTTGTTGCCAATATCAGGTACCTTTCCTTCAGGTCACTGAGCATCTTCCAGGCTGTGCGCTCATGTTCCTCTACATACTTAGAACACTATTAACAGACCCAACTAATCTTGAAGTTTAATATGATTTAATATATTGTCTAGGTTTCAGTTGGCCTAGAATTAACTCAGAATAAATAAAAAACAACAAAGATGAACTACAAGTTGCAGCCATTCCTGACAATGATGTTAGAACTGGACGTTTTTCCTTTATGGAACTAGAAAAAACATGTTCTGTTGAAGATTTGTTTGTTTGTTTATTCAGTCATCATCCACCCATCCATCTATCCATCCATCCATCCACCTTAACTGTGCACCTTTCTAATAAGCTCACTTTTTATGGTGTATTTGGGAAAACTGTCACCAGTGGTCAGCCTGCTAATGACAAGGCTTATCACTGATTTCAGTGACCACTTGTGTTCTCTTGATAAAGAGCCATTAACTTGATCTAGCAACTCATTCATGTTGCTTGTTTATAAACTGTTCATTTGAAAATGGTAACATACAATACAGTACTACTGTTCCCTGGCTGTATATCTTTATTATGCCTTTATTACACTGATGGACAACAAAATGATTTCGCATTCATCAGAAAAATTACACAAGGCCAATAAACAGTTTATTCAGGCTTGAGGACATCATTTTCTTAGGTTTGACTTTAGGACTAATCCTCAAATAAATGTATAGATTTTTTTGAATTAAAGTACCTTTTCCAAGAGTTTTAGCATATAACCCGTTATCTGTGCTGTTTGTTTTTATGTAGCTTCTTCTGTCACATTGTTAGATAATTCTCCTTATAACCTGCAACCTGTGCTATTGTTTCCACGCTGAAGTTCGACCTTTCCGTTGGGCCGAGTCCCTCGAGAAAAGCTAATGTGGTCAGTCAGTGGGATAATGAATCCATGGGGGACTCTGATCGGACTTACGCATCGCCGTGCTGGTGTGTGTGGGGGCCAACTGCACAGCCATTTGCATCATCCTCATATAGCTGAAGCACTTCCTCACTCTACCACAGGTCAGAGGGAAAAGGGGACAGGAGATTAACGGCAGACAATAGTGGCGCGAATTGGATTCACATACGTGAGCTAAACTGACCTTTTTACCTCCTACGACAGGGAGAAAGAGACAGGCAGGTAGGCAGACAGGTGCCGCAGCTGTACGCCTGTGCTGGAAGGATGTTTGCTATTGAGGAAAGTTTGCTTAGGGCACATTCATGGCATGAACCTCAGCTTTGCATGCATTTGCATAGACAGAGCAGTCATGGTGACTGTGCTGCCAGAAACTAGAGTTCACCAAACGGTGTTATGGTCGCCATAAGCCACACGCACACTCCACCCAGGTATTGCCTCTTCGACTACTTTACCTAAATCTCATCTATCATTATTATGAGTTTTTTGTGAAACCAAATAAAACAAAAACCTACTAGCTTCTCATTCCAGTCAAACCAATGTGCTTTTTCCTAGTTCAGCTAACTTACTAGTTGAACTGGGGACTAAAACACTTGTGAGAAAAAAGCTTAACATGGCTTAATGTGCTAAAACAACAACCTAGGAACACCAAACCTCTCTCTCTCACTACAGATCATAAGCTCTCTGTTGCTGAAAGGATGAACTTGTGATCTGAAAAGAAGCAACAGTAACTAGTAAGAATCTCACTGTACATTTATAATCCATAAAATCACTGCTTTCTTTTTTGGATCACAGGTTCATCCTTTCAGCAGCAGAGAGAGCTTATGACCAGTGGTGGTTTGGTGTTCCTATGTTACTGTTTTACTACAATAATCCACGTTTAGCCTTTTCATTATAATGGGTTTAAATGGAAAGAAAAAAGGATGTCCCTTGAACTACTGGTTTGACAGGGACAGAACAGCCCCTGTACTACAGCTAATTTCTAATGGTAACGTCCACTTAAAGGAAGGGTTCACCAAAATATCAAATTTACACCTTACGTTAACCCTAATGTGGCAAAGACTTTGAGTGACAGACTTCCACAACTTCTTAGCTAGCTTATATTAGCCAGGGCAAAACTAAAGAAGCAAACTTCAGACAACAAATATGTATATCAATTAGACTTTTCAGTGAACCACTCCTTCACAGAACATCGCCAAAGGATAGTTTTTCGTTATGGTGACATGACTAGCTAAGCCAGTCAAACCGTGGTACTGAAACTGAAGCGCCTTTACTCACCTAACAGAAGCAACTTCAGCTCTCTCCGAGAGTCTTTCTTGTCTCGTCGAAGCTGCTTGTCTATCTCTTGATTAATCCTCTGACACTCTTTCTCCTCAGCCGACATACAGCACCCAGCCATGGTCGCCCAGTGTTTTGAACCCTGGTACCAGTCTTCGTTAAAAACAGTCACTCGGACTCTACTTTAAAAGTGCGTTGGCCAACCGTCGTTTCCCTCACCGAGCTACGAAGTCATGTAGCTATAAGCTCCTCACAGGGGGGTCCGGCCTGTCATGAACTTACTTTTTTCAGTGTAAATGACGAGTAACTGTCCTAACTGAGAGAAAATTCGTCTTTTCTAACATCCTAAGTGCTCCTTCCGAACTGTTTTTGCTCGGTTTTCTTTCTCGTCCCGCTTTTACAGAACACGAAGACCACAGCGACTATCCCTGCAACTCCCGCGCTTAAGAATCGTCTCGTGCCCATCCCTGACACCCACCCGTTTTCCGGAAAGCCACGCCCCCTAGGCTTGGAGCTCACGCTCACAAGCGGCCCTGCTCTGCGATTGGATAATGTATGACACTCACAAACAGTCTGACGGATCTCTAAGCCAATCGCAGCGTAGGAGGCGGGGTTTTATGAATGTGGGTGGAGGGGGGAAAGCACCTGCCGCCTGGGATGAAAATTCTTATCAACCTGGAATGTCTTTAGGTTCCGTTTTAATCGGGGCATTTTATAGCAAATATATTTGAATCTTTGCTGTTCTACAAAATAAAATAAAATGAAATAAAATGAAATATCCCTTATAACACTAACAGATTAACCCTTTCAAATTAAATTGCACTGAAATAAACAACTAAAAAATAATAGCCTTATAACTATATACTAACATACTAATTAGCCTATTTAAAAACAGAGAACAGTTTTTTTTTTCCTCCAAATTATTAATTTGACTGTGTGAATCATCAAACTGCAAAACCGGACAGCTGCTTCTCTGGAAAATGCCCCCATGCAAGTCAAAGTACAGACAACATCTCCTACCTTGTTGATTGCATTCAAAACAGCAAGGCACAGATTTGCAACTGTTTTCCAAGTGAAAGTGGATTTTCGTTTTCTTTTTTGGGCAAGAACACACTTAAAGCGAAGAGCACAGGGTCTTATTTCCATGTTACAAAATCAAGGCACCATTTCGTCTCCAGACTTTAACAGGGATATTTCATAACAGTCTTATAGGAAGACTCCAGCTGTTTCTGTAGTCTACACTCTTAAAAAAGACAGCTCTATAAGGGTTCTTTAGTAAAGAAAATGGTTCTGTATAGAAACATGAACACTCAAAGAACCCTTTGCATGATTAAAGAGTTCTTTGCATCATGAAATGGTTCTTTAGACTAATGGAGAATGGTGAAGTAGATGGTTCTACATAGAGTCTTTTTGAAAAGGGTTCTATATAGCACCAAAAAGGTTCTTCTATGTTCTTCTATTGTTACCAGCTTGACATCATACCAATAGAAGAACCTTTTTGGTGCTATATAGAACCCTTTTCAAAAAGACTCTATGTAGAACCATATACAGCACCATATATGTATATATATATATATAGTACCTCTGTATAAAATACCTCTATACTGTACCAGTATATAAACACAGTAAGGTGCAAAAGTCAGAAGCAACTTTACATTAAGTTCATTTCTGGTCAAAAAGGCCAAAAAAGTTTCTCAGGAAAAAAGTGTAAAATATATATTTCACAAAAAAGCCTCAGACAACTAAAATAATAGAATTACATTTGTCAGTATATCATTTTCATTTTTCTCTTTGCCTTTATGACAGATTCCATTCTTTTCAGGAGACTCGCTTTCAGTTTTTCAACGAAATCTGCAGGAATGTTTTTCCACACCTCCAAAGTTCAGTCTTAGAAGTTGGTTGCGTTTCCTTAAGTGATGTTGAGGTCTGGACTCTGGGGTGCAGGGGCATCCCTAGAGGGGGCTAAGGCTTTACTAAGTGGGTCTTGGGCCCATGCTCATCCACAGTGTTTCTAATGGCCCCAAAATGTCTCTTCATTATGAACCTTTAGAGAAGCAATAGGATGAAAATTAAAAAAAAAAATGGTCAAGTTGGCAGAGAGAAGATCTGTTTCCTCATCGTGTATTCGGTACAGATCTGCTACAATTTAAATATCCACCTACACAAATCACAGATCAAACAAAGGTATTAAAGTCAAGCAAGACTATCTCCACTCTCTTAGATAAGCTGCAGATCCTTATTCAAATACTAGATTATAGATCAGGACAGTCTCAGTTTGTGTGACCAGATAGATGGGATTCTGTTCTGTAGCTGTGCTTACATAGGTGACATTTGTCATAGTGACATTTGGCAGAACAAAAATTATATTATCTCAAAGATTTTTTGTTAGTCCCTATAGGGAATAACATTTCTATAAATTTGGTATAAATTTGGACCTGCTTCTTCAGCTCTGTTAGTCTCCTTCAGCTTCTTTCTTTGTATCTCCTTGCTTGAGTTTAGTTATTTTTATGAAACTCAGAAGAACTCAAGGATCGATAAGTTCTTTGTTTTTGTGAAATGGCAAAAATCTTCTCACTTGACTGGCTTTCTACAGAGCTACCACCTCTTAATTATCACCTACACTGCAAAATGAGAATATATAGCCAATACTGTTGTGATTGTTTTGAAATACTTAATAGAAATATGACAACAAATAATCATGCTTTATAGCCTATGCCCTTTTCTTTACTTCACATTAACTCTTTAACCACTTACTGATTCAGACAGTATATTACATATTTTGAATAACTGTCTCATCTTTATTTTTTAGTAAGCTTTTCATATAAAATCCTGTCAAAATTTCAGCGGTTACTTCACAGAGTACGTAACACTACAACCTTTCCTTATGCAAGTGGATTATCTTTTCTAATTTGCTCAGAAATATCTCCTAAAATTGAACAACTTGGTCTCGGACTTTTGCACAGGACTGTATACTTATATTCAGCACTGTATATAATTATGTATAAACAGGGTTGGGATACAGGTAATGAACTGAATATAGGTATCAGTACTCAGTCCAAGTTACATTTTTGTAAAGGCAGTATTCAGAATACAGTTTCTTTTTACATTTTTAGGAGATGCTTTTACAATACTTAGTCACTAAAAAACAAAAAAACATAGACTATTCAGAAGAAACACCATCATTGCTTGTTTATGAACTATTTTAGAATCAGTGCATGGCATATAGCAAATATGCTTGTTAGGTGAATTCCAAAGATGACCTCAAATATCAGCCTCTTTACAAATACTAAAGTCCCTACTAAAGCCTGAGTGGACTGATAAATCAATGTGACGATCAGTTATTAATCTCAGTGTTACTAAGGTCTGCTAAAGCCTGAGTAGACTGATAAATCAATGAGATGATCAGTTATTAATCTCAGTGTCACTGAGCTCTGCTAAAGCCTGAGTAGACTGATAAATCAATGAGATGATCAGTTATTAATCTCAGTGTCACTGAGCTCTGCAAAAGCCTGGGTAGACTGATGAATTGAAGTTTATTAATTACAAAGTTACTGAGCTTTTTCAAGGGATGATCAAATGAATAATCTCCTCAGTAGTGGACATGGTTGTGAGTGACAAATTTAGCGTTAGTGCTGTACTGTACTGCTGTTCGTGGGGGAAACTGGGGGAGCAGCAAAGGACTAAACCAGGTGGTGGGAGAGAAGACATGTTGAGAATTTTGCAAATTTCAATTAAATGATAAGTGAGTTTTCCATGAAATGCACTTGAAGAAAACTACCAGTAACAGCGAGAAACATTTTTCCACATGTGCCTTACCAAGATGTATTTAAATGTATTCTAGATGTATTTTGTATTAGTTATTTATATTAACTCTGTATAGAAATATACCTAAACACCGTATATAGAAACAGCTCTTTCTGACTGTGAATGCGAATGAGTTTCCACACATTTTGATTTCTTCTCCTTTCTGTGAGCAGCAGTGCCACCTTTTAATGACCTCATCACTCTATTGAAACACACACCACGCACCATAAACAAAAACTGTTTAATTTGTTAATCTAATCTGTTAAAATGTTTACTTTTTACTTTTAGATACTTGAGTATGTTTAAATGTATGATTTTGACACACTACCCATATTTTTACCAATTTTTCAAAATGTCTGCATATTGCAATGCAGACATTTTTCTGTTTTATGTGGGACTATTTTGCCTTAGAACGTCCTGCATGTACCCCTCCACCATGAATGCATTTTAAAACGTATATTCAAGCCAAAAGCTTATCACAAAACTATCATAAAACAATGTCTTTCAACAAATTCATAATCACTTTATGCAATATCTTCCTGTAAGGCAGTTTTAGAATTATTAAACACTCCACAAACCACTCTGAATGACTTTGTTTACATCTTAATCATTTAGTTGTGCAGATTTTTTTAAAAATTGGTGCCATTCCCCTTTCAGTCCAGTTTTCTGTACTTTTTCTAGCCCTCATAAGAGCAGAGAACATACAGAACTATGCTGGGTATTGGTACGTCATGACCAGGATGGACAGAGTAGCCTTAATCCATACTCCGGTAAAAGTATTGTTACTTCAGTGAAATAATGACTCAAGTAAAAGTTAAAAAATCTTTCAAAATTTGAAAAAACAACTTCAATAGTTGAATAGTACAAAAGTAGCAGGTCAAAAGATTATGTAAGCCCTGAGTAACTCCCAGAACTGCAGTGGAACTTCTTAATACATCCAGCATCTATCAGCAGAGGCAGTGAAGTTTATGAAGTTGTGAGTTATTGTTCTGTTTTTGATGCACTGGTCATCTGACATAAAATGCTCAAACGTCAGAGGTGTGACCAACTATAAAGCAGTACAGACGCTGTCATCAACATTACAGAATGGATTCTGTATTGTAACACATATATAAAACTAAAAGATTATTCAGATCGAATAGAAGTCGTGTGTCAACTACGGCTCTAAGCAGATTTTCATTATGAGAAAAAATTGTAATTTGCCTGACATTCCCTGTGGTAAACAAAAATGTGCACGGAAATAGCATCACATGAAAGTAAGTCTACTATTAAACTTCAACCCTATTATACAACCACCAGCTACTGCCAAAACTTCTTAACCACCATATTTGACTAAACTTGCTGGTTTGTAGGGTTGTTTTGATGTCAATTCTTTGCGCAGCAGTGTTAGTGCACATGCAGAAACAGTCATATTTGAGCTTATTAATGACCTCGTAACCTTGAGCCGATGTTCTGACAAATTGTGCAACCTGGTCAAAACGGCCTACCATAGCACAAAGTATGGGTAACTCCTTACTTAAAACAGGGAAGGATGTTTTGAAAGCTTAAATCACTGTATCAGAAAATGCTACCAACATTACAACTACAGGTAGGGTAGTTTTCTAACCAAACCCATTTATCAGAAAGTTTTACCAGCATAAAGGAATAATTAGGAGATTTTGATAGCATAAATCAGCTGATCAGTTCAGGGAGTAAGTGGCAATATTAAGATTAGACTGTATGATTGACTTGAAGTAAGTTTGAATTAACATGAAAAAGAAGTTACTATGCTGTAGTAATGAAATGCGCATGCTCAGTGGGACCACTCGCTGGGTAAGAAAAGCTGTTAGAGCAGCGGTTTAAAGAGCCTGGCCACTTCCTATTTCTCGTGTTCTATCAGAAACACAGCAGAACGCCAGAGGGCGCCCGTGAGCAAGTCCTAAATGAATAGTGCACTACTTTTGTGTATTAGTCCAAATTTCATGACTCACATAGTGCACTATGTAGGGAATAAGGAGCCATTTGTGTTTAAGGGTTTCTAAAAAGGTTATGCCCTGCCTTCCGCACCCCCCATGTAATAAAACGCAACGTACGATAGCTACTAAGCCTCTGGACCACTGTGTAACATCATATCCAGAGCTGAGGGTGCGATACGGAGCCCCGGAGGGGACGGAGGTAAAAAAAAAAACGGGTGAACGTTTTGCAGTTTGTATTAACGTTTTCTTTTATTCGTGGTCACGATTTCTTAAATCGCTCTCTTGTTTTCTTTTAATCATGTGCACGTTTTCTTTACTTCGTGGGTACTTTTTTATTCATGATCACGATTTTCTAATTCGTTCTCTCGTCTTCTTTTAACCGTGGTCATCTTTCATCATCATCAAAACCCGTCAGACGGTCTCAGGGAGCTGTTGGCTGTTTCTGCACAGGACAAATAACACGACCTGTATCTACTACATTGATTTTGCTCACGAATCAAAAAAATAAACAACGTGCGTTCAGTTAAAAATGAAACATCACAACGATTAAAAGAAAACGAGAGAACGAATTAGAAAATCGTGATCACGAATAAACAAAAACGTACCTACGAAGTTGCTACGCTTCCCTTTCTCTCCGCTGGTTGGCGGTAAGCGCCGCTGTAACCCGCCCCAGAACACAGAAGAACGACGGGTTCACTTTTTCAAACAGCAGCCGCGGATCCAGCGCACCAACCCCGCTCCGCGTACAGACTCTCCCTGGAGGCGGTCGGTGGGGAAACAGCGACAACAAACAGCCACAGTAACGGTTTCAGTACGTTATTATGGCTCCAGTAGACCTCTTACAGACGGTGGCTTCACTTTAGCGAACCCAGAGACGTCTGTATTTGCGGTATCTTAGCCAGCTGAACATTTACCATTAGTTTGCAAGCTTAGCTTAGCCAGCCAGTCTTTTAACTAGCCGACGTTATTTTTAGCAGCCTAGCAACCAGCAAAATGGCGTTGGCGTGTTTTGACAGCTTGTCTGATTTGTCTTACGACTCTGTTTTTTAATGAAACATCAAGCGAGCTGTATCGTTTCATTGCCCTACAAATAAAGTAAGCCTGTACTGTCGCTTATCTGTGAGCTGCTGCTTAGCTAAGCTAACTTAGCTCGTTTTTCTACCTCTACTCAGGTAACGTTAGTTAGATGTTGAGCGATGCTGGGTTCTGCTCAGCTGAAGCGTAGAAGAGCTCAGGACTTTGCAGCCTGTTATGATTCAGCTTGTGCTGCTCAAGGCTCGGTTCCACTGCCCGCGGTCAAGTCGAGCCTTGGCCAAGGAGTGCTGGACTTCAACGGAGATGTCCTCAGTCTCCCAGACTGGACGCCTGTACTGTCATCTTTGGCCATCAACAAGCATTTACAGAATGTGACCATCAGAAGCTGCTACCTCAGCACTTTGGGATCACAGGGTGAGCCATCCCTGATTTATGTGAATATTAGACCAGCACAACACAGATTTAACTAACACTGATGATAATATTGTCTTGTATTGCTTTAATTTGGCAAAACTGAACAGATTCAAATACTCTTAGTTACACAGTGTTTTACTGGTTGCCATGGTTGTCAGTTGTCAACTGTGAATTATCAGTCACACACTGAACCCTTAAAATCTGTGGACGTGTGTCATTTCTATCACATTTGAGGTGTCAGTTTGTCATGGATGCACACTTATATCAGAATCTTATATCAGAATGGGCAGATAATTGCTTAAAAATTCACAGTTGGACAGATGTTAAGATCTGACCAATATTTCAAACTAATATTTGATGACAAACATAAATCAAAGTGCAACATTGAAAGTAAGATGCTACTGGCTATTTTTCACAATGAGTCATGCATAACATTTGGTATAAGTGTAGCTGCAGCTTTTAAATACAGCACAAGTGCACTTACCTGACTTACGCTATTTATGTTGCAGGATTTTAACACCAATTGGCCAAAATAAAAATGATTTATAGGTTGATTGCTGATCATGTGTTTAGACTGGGCAATTAAACCAAATTTTATTTTTATAATTTTTTTTAATTACGATTTTGGCTTTCACTATAATGGAAAGGTTATCGAGATAAACATTTATTGTGCCACATTCCGTTTCGCAATGGTGCTTTCCTTTTGTTTAGTGCACTACAACAACATGGTTGATCTTATTTATTTAACTTTATTTATTTTTGCTTACTTATTGGTTTTATATTATTTATGTAAATGTTATCATATCTTTATCTTAAGTATTATTTATTTTATTTATTTGTCTTTGTTATTTCAAGGAAATCCACTGTTAATTTTTTTATTTTTTTAAGTTTAATAAATGCATGATGTTTCCGAAATCAATGAGTAATCCTGCTAAATAATTATAATTATGATTTTTGCCATAATTGAGCAGCCCTACAAATGAGCTGATGGTTCCCTTCTATCTAGCTTCTTCTAAGGCCACCAGCAGAAAGAAGACACCCGTAATCCATTCGAAGAGTATGACCCTTCAGCTCTGCAAAGCTGTGCAGAAATGCCTTTGTGTTTCACCCAGTCTGAAGATCCTCCAGCTGCACGGGCTGCCGTTAAGAGAGAGAGACCTCAACATACTCACAAAGGTAGAGAAAGGCACTGTCCTGTTGTGAATGAGTGTGAAGTTCATATTTAGAACTTCTGTTCTCTTTTCAGGGTTTGTCCAAGAGCACCTCATTGGAGCATCTGTCTCTGGCGCGCTGTCCAATTGCAGACGATGGGCTAGAAGGTCAGTAAGTCAGGAGCGTTAAGATCATTATCATCAAAATGGTATTGCTTTGTTTTTGTTTATATGTGCCTTTTATATCTCTCTGTGCGTTCAGTTATCTGTCAGAGTGTTAAGTACTCCTCAACAATCAGAACGGTGGATTTCACTTCTTGTAATATTACCTGGCAAGGGGCAGAACATATGGCAAACATAATCAAGGTAAGCCTGTCTGTTTGCTGAAATGTGATTGGACTGGATTTAAAGGGGTATTCCAGCATTAAACTAGAATTTAGTATTTTAATTAGCATGTAATATTCTGTAATGCAGCATTGCATCCCTCAGTCTTATCAGTCTGATGAATTTGTATCCTTTTTGTGTTTTTGTCCAATACAAACACCACAGTGCCCAGAATGCATTGTACAAATATGCCATACCGCTGGGAATTCTTCCACAGCAGTAAAGAGATCCTGACTGCTGACTGATGTAGAAGCTAATAAATACGGAAGTGGCTTTCTATCAGTAACATTAGCTGTCTACCTTCTAGAGCCAAAAAGAAAAAGACCCATAAATCCACCTCAAAATGCTTGTAGGTTTTCAGAGGTTCCTCACATCTTCAAAATACATCATCAGAAGGTAGTTGTCCTAGTTTTTAAGCCAGCAAATCCCATTCTAGAGACTACTTACCTTCTACAGTAGTCCCACAGTAGATGTGTTTACAACAGATGAAGCGGTTAAATTTTCATTTTGGTCTGGGTGCCCCTTTGAAGATGTGCTTAGTCAGTTTGACCTGAACATTCATATCAACCAGAGTTACATAGTCGAAGGTGCTTTTTTCTAATGGGACGATGTGCAGAAAGCCTGTTGAATGATCTGTTTGTTGTTCTCAATCATTCTCAACAAGAGGAAAAATGAAAGAGACTAGGATAACGTTCCAAATTATTAGCATGAACATGACTGCTTTGTTTGGAGCAGCACCAAGCAGTGAGGCGGCATAGCACAGCATGGGCGGAGTCTTTGCGGTACAGAAAGGCGGAGTTTGAGGCGATGGGCGGGCTGCGCAGGATCACGCTCAGTGACAATATTCTAATCGGGGACAGAGGAGTGACCGCACTCGCTGAGGAGCTCGCAGAGGACCTGTGGGTCAAAGGTCAGACAATATAAATCTTTAAACTGGTATTGACGCATCTCACAACACACAGGATACAGAATGCATTATATATTTCTGAATAATTTATTATTGTCTCACATGCATGAAGGCATGAATTCTGTGTGAGTACAAAAAAGATCCATCACACATGTGTGAAAGAACTTGGTGTGCATGCATATGTAGTTTCTAAATCCTTGTTGTCATGGAGGCTGAAGTCAACTCGGCACGTGCAGTATCAGATAATGATGTAGGATTTTGCTGAAAAAGCAAGCCAGCCCAAATATGTGTTTTATTTGGAAGCTGCTCTGCTGTCTTTGCTATTTTTAGCTTGTATCCTTTTGTAGAATTAACCGATTAACTTAAACACATATTAAATTACATTGAGCTTTATCTTTAAGTACTTTTGCATTTCATTCGGCAATCTGTGACTGAAACCATGTGCCCCTGCTGATCTGGGTTTTCTCATTTTCAGTGATGCATATAAATGCTACTTGAGTGCTAATGGTGCGCATGTTGTTCAGAACCTAAATGAAAACAAGTGAACATTAAAATTCAAACATTTTACATGCTGCAGTTAAATTGACAAATTGTTCCACTTATCAGGATTAACGCTTTTTCGGAAAGTTATTATGGACTTTGCTATAATATATAATTTGCTATAATATTCCTGTTTGGGCTACAACACTTGCAACATTTCTAGCTCAGAAAGTTGCAGCCCTGTAAAGTCACAGATCCATTTTCACGAGACCAAGTAATCCTATAGGCTACGATATATATACGTTTAGATAGTTATTCTTTTTCTGGCTAAATTGATTTGTGTTGATACTGCAGCGGTGGACCTTCAGCGCTGCGGCATCTCTAATGAAGGAGCTAAAGCCTTGGAGAAGATGCTCCAGTCCAACTCCACTCTGTGTGTCCTGGACATCAGGAGGAATCCACTAGTGGGTCAGTTCAGAGCACATTCATATACATGAAGAGAAACCTCTTCGGCTTAAATCCTCATCTTTTTTTCTTTGGATCTTTTTTATCAGACAATGAGTTGGTGAAGGATGTGATTAAAAAAGTCCTTATGAACACTAAAGGCCAGGACTCACAGGTAACACACAGATCCTCACCTGCAAATGGTTTAGGTGCATTAGATTAGTTAATAAGTGGAGAAAACAAGGGCTTCAGTTTGCACCCCAGTTGTGCCATATGCTATAGTATTTTGATAAAAGCAACACTGGCCAGTACACACTATTAATCATTTATTATTACAATAAAAGTTATGATACTTCATAGTTGAACTGAATTATAGAAAAAAAATCAGTATCATTATAAAGCCACTTGAAAAGTGTAGTAGAAGTTAATGCTGGGGCTGTGTTTCAGTATCTTTGGCTGAAGCCTCCAGCAAAGGATGCATATGACCGCACAGGCCAGATTATGAGGAGAAACACAGGAAGAGCTACCTACAGAACTGGTGAGAATGCTGCTCTCTTGAATTATCTTGTGGCATCCCTTGATCTATGACTAAGACTGACATATTTAAATAACTTCTGTGCTGAAATTGGCTGCCCTGTATTGTGCCTCATGCAAAAAGCTTGAAAAAGGCTTGAATGGCTGGACCTAAACTGCTGTTGGTTGAATATGCAGATATAAGTAAATGTTGGTTTTCGTGACATCACAGAAACAGTGAAGTCAGCGTAGTTTCCTTGTATGGACTGAGGATTGAACTGCACACTTTGAAACATTAACCTTGTTTACATATTGACTGTTAGAAATTCTGTTTTTATGTCACTTGTATCTGTTGAAGGATCTCGCAGAACATCTTCAACAGCGTGCGGCTGGAGGCCGCCCCGACCTGGATCTGCTGGGTATATCCCATGGCGCACGGCAGCACGTGCCAAACTTCAGAGGTTAGAGACAATCACTGTCACACTGAGATATAGTGGTATCTAGTTCTTAACTCTTTATCTGTCTATCTATGTATCTATCTATCTATCTATCTATGTATGTATCTATGTATCTATCTATCTGTAAAGCCTCATCGGGTTTGAAAAAGACGCTATATAAATGAAAAGAATTTTGGGATTTAATCCAGCATAAGAGTCTGAAGTCCTACAGTGTGAATATAGTCAAGCGCCATTTAGTTATTGGGCTGCAACACTAGCTCAAGTAAGGGGGAATTCCACTAACTTCTAAAAGTTTCTGCATAATTCAGTTGTTGAGATTCAGAGTGTTTGTGTGGTTAATTGTAGAGAAACTTGCTGACACACATTTCTTTACAATGGTGGTTATAGAAACCAGGGTACCAAAGTCTACAACACAAATATAGCCGTTTTATTTGCACCCCAAAATGACCACATATAACTACTTAGCTTTTATACATCATGTTGATAATGGTAAAGGGAAATAAGTCTTTGAGGACTATTTTTTTTTCTTGCAGTCACTCTGCATGTATCTCTGCTGTGATACCTCTCTGCTTGCTTATCTCAAATATATAGTTAGATTGTATCAGGTGTCATTCAACATGTTCATAACCATTTAATATAATGGCTTTCTGTGAGGAAGCTTTTAGAGCAGAGGTCTTTAATTAAAATTCAATAAGGTCCAGTTAAAGAAAATTTCCTCAAACAATGGTCTGGAATATCATAATGTCTACCTTGCATTATGACTCAGTGCCATATAGTGTATACTAAAGTAGCCTAGTAGTTATATCAACATCTTATGTAGTCGACAACTGAATGTCAGATCAAATAAAGTACAATTCAGTGATATTTCAACAATATTTATTGTCAGTTTTCTCTTTTTAGAGTACACCATATAAGATAATCTGGCTCACTTTCTTCTCCAACTGCCTGTCTCGCCTCGTCCCTCCCCTGTGTGTGCGCCACTCACTTGAGTGCTCAAAGTAATGCGCAGATCTGATTACCTGAGTAGCGTCACATGTGACATTTGCAGCGCATGCGATTGGTCTGTGAGTTTCCCGGGCCGCTAAAGCGGTACCGTAAAGGTTGGAAAAGTTACGCGGTCCGCCTATTAGTGACCTCTGTTTTAGAGCCACTTCTTTTGTAAATTCTTCAGACGTCTGGTTCCCATCACCACTGTTGTGAACAGTTCTAACTCTGGGAATTTCTGAAACAGAACATTTCACATCAAACCACTCTGAATGAATTTATTTATATTATAAGAGTTTAATTTGCAGAAAGCTTAAGCACAGAAGGACCTTTTAATAATAATAATGTGCTGTCTGTAAGGCATCTCTAGTTACATATCAATTAAATTAATTGCAAATTTTTGGTTGTAAAATGTTAGTCATTTTGTCACAGACCTGTTTCAAGTTACAAGAGGCTTTTATTAAGGATGTTTGTTACATCTCAGCATGGATACGGAACAGAAATAATCTTGTGTTTCTGTCTTGTTTAGGGGCCTTCCACAGGGTGCAATTGCAGCCAATCAGAGTTTTCAGGTTTGGTTTTATTTTTTTGATTCCCACACCATTGAAGCACTTCATATTTTTTGCTTCCGTTTCTTTAATGAAGCCTAAAATCTAAATCTAAGAAAAAGTGTTGATTTAAGGGATGAAATTCTCTGTGAAATATTTACTTTATGATGACCCTTTCAGAATGCTTCCACTATCCGAGTCACTCTGGAGTCAGCAAGTGAGTCAGAGTCTGAGGAAGTGGAGAGTGTATCACAAAGTCCGTGTACGCAGAGTCCTCAAGGAAATATTACCAGCAGGAAGTTCAGGCGTCTGCAGGCAGAATACAAGCGCCTACAGGTACGACTGGAACAGTAGCATTGTGTTATGGCATGCAAAAACTGCTCTAGAAAGAGGAACACAATTCAGATTAGTAGTACCCACTGTGCTTAAAGGCCATTGGTTCAGGATTGCCAGACTCAGGCCAGCGCAGAGCTAAGTTGTACTGTTCAGTATACAGTTCAGCCCCTGAAGGACAAAGTAGTTAGCTGAGTCAGGTTTTCTACATCTAGTTTATTTTGGTGTTTTATGAATTTGATAACACACTGAAAATAGTTTTGACACACTGTGATGGTTGTGTCTTTTATCATTTCTTGGGTCAGGGCTAAGGATTTTGTTTATGTCCTGCAACATTGTGTTGAATAATTATGCCCTGCAGGATCTTTTAGAACAGTTAAACAGTGTAGTTTCTCATGTCACCTGCAGGTGGAGCTTGAGGACTGCAAGCTCAGGCTAGCAGAAGAGAGAAATGCAAGACTGAAAGCCAATTCTCGCCTGGTGGAGGTACAGTGATCTAGAACTGTTTTTTTCCTCATATTACTGAAATGTGTATATGGGCCATTCTACCAGTGTAGTCCCACAGTTTAAAAAAAAAAAATAGATTTCAGACTTTTATTTCAGATATTGCCAAGAATATTCCACAGATTTTTTTGCATTTTTTTCAATGTGTCTTTTTGATTTCTTTTAAAGTAATGTTGAATAATTTAGATTTATGAGTTTAATTTTTAAATTAAAAAAAACTTTAAGAAATGCTGTTCCACGTTTTCACATCTCCACCCGAAACACAAGTTTTAGACCATAGGCGGAGCCTTATTTTGGCCATGCCTCTGCATTTTAGAGCAGCAAGTGAGACTGCATCCCTGTCCCTCATGGCCACATGGTCAGTTTGCAACTTTAAGAATCAGTACTGAAACACATGTTTTCTGCATGTGTTTAAGTAAACGTTTTGTGTTTTACTGAAAAATATTATGATTTTATGGGTGTAAAACTGTTCAAAGTCATGTGCTGGGTAGTGTTTTTGAGTTATGCCCAAAATTGTCTATAATTTTTTAGATAATTTTATATAATCTGTGCTTATCATATTTTTTCTATTGAATCAGTCACTACTGAAACATTTGGTACAGTATGGTTAGTGTTTTGATAGTTTTGGTGATGTTTCAATAAAATAAACATTAGGTATATTCAGTTCTGGCTTTGAACCAGTTTGATAAAATGATCCATCTATTTCTCTTGTCTGTTTTGTTTTCTGATTAGCTGGAGTTAGAGAACAGTCGTCTGCGCAGTCTGAATCAGTCTCTCTCTGAAGCCCACGTCAGCCATTCTATGCTGGAGGATGACCGTGTGCTGGACAGCATTGAGTCATCTTTTCACAAATTTCACGCCTTCCTCGACCTTCTGAAAGATGCTGGGTATTTGAAACTGCTGTTTTCTTACTCTGATGATTGCAGTCATGTTAAACAAGTTTTTTCCTAACGTGTGATGTGGATAATTATTCCTAGGCTTGGCCAGTTAGCGTCCATGGCTGGCATTGAGCAGTCAGACTTTGGGCTTCTGGGTCATCCTCAGCTCTCCTCCACAGAGCGAAGGGGCCAGGGAGACCAGGGTAATGAGCAGAGGAAGGAGGACACTGCTGTAAGTGGCATTCATCTCAGTAATAAGAAACATATTATTTTAACAACAAAATACGGACAAGCCAAATTTTTTAGCTGACTTGTGATGTGTTGGAGGCGTTAGGGCACAGACAAGTCAAAGCTGCTTTTGTATACCCTCTTGTGTACTCTCTAAGTATTGGATGTATATGCGAAAAGTCTTTGTCTTTATACAATGCCAAAAAGTGCTCCATTTAATTCATGTTGCCTTCTGTGAGGAAGCTTTTGGAAGCATTAAACACTTAATCTGGTTCCTATCACAACAATTCTGACCTATCAGATTTCTTCAGAGTGGCATATCTGACATCAAACCACTCTGAATGACTACATCGTAATGATTCTGTTGTGCAGAGGTTGTAAAAAATCTCTAATTCCTTTTTAAAGAAAAGTACAAATTACAATTATTTACATATGAAAGCACCTAACATTCTGTACCTGCTCCACAGACTACAGACAACCTTCAAAGAGCATCAAGATCTCAGTCAAGCAGATCCTCCTCTAGAGTCTCTGCTGCCTCCAGGTCCTCTATTCAATCCCAGCAGGAGATTCCCTTCAACCCCACTATCCACTCCAGCACCCCTCCTGCTCAGCTGGACCAACACGATGCACCAGGGCAGCAGCGCAATATCTCCCCAGTCCCAACGAGCCTTCACAGGATGTCCGGCTCTGAGAAGGTCCAGGGCAGCGGAGGCTCAAAGTCAGCAAGTTCAGTCAGTAGCAATATAAGTATACACAGTAAAGTCTCTAATTCTTACAGAGATGACTTTTCTGAGGGGAAGGTTTCTCCTGCTCTAAGCTCTAGATCCTCCAGTGTCTCTAGGTTTGAGGGCCAGAGGAGTACTGCTGGTTTGGCGGGGTTCTAGAGCAAGCTCAGATCCTGGACTCTCTGTAGACTGGATTTAAAGGGCCCATATCTTACAGTTTTCTTCTATTGTATTTTATTCGTAATTGTGACATTTGTATGTTTATGTATCAAAAACAGTCAAAGTTTTTACACAAAATGTACAATTTTACACAACCATTTTTCAGCCTCTCTTTATTCCTTTTGTTACGGGGCCTTTAAAGGCACTTTTTCCACTGCATGGTACCAGCTCGACTCGACTCGCCTTTTTTGGTTTTCCGTGAGGCAAAAGTTGCCTGGTACCTAGTACACGGTACTTTCTTGGTATGAACTCCAACGAGGTTCCAAGCAACCTCAGGCTTTTTCTCATTTTTTGTTAGCAGTCTTTTGCCTTGCTGCTGTCAGCCTCTTCTGAACAAAATTTGTTTCCTTCACATCATGGCAGTTTCATTTGGCATAGCTATGACGCCCAGCTACATTCAGATGGTACCATATCTGCAGTGGACAACAATGTAGCTGCTACTGAAAACGTTCTGATTGGCTGCATTGTATTGTGCATCATTCAGAAGCAGTCCAGGCTGACAAAGTTCAGGGGCGGAGCGAAAGTGCTGTAGGCTGAATAGGTGTATGTATGTAAATGCATTGTTTTTTTTTTGTTTGTTTGTTTGTTTTTTTTTAAAGACATTACAAAAACACTGAATTCAAAACAGGTTCTTTTGGCAGCTTACTATATGCATGGACTGGGGAGTGAATGGCTTGTTTTGAAACTTTAACAGCAGTTACATTGTTATTTTATTCCAAAAATCGAAGGAATTTGTTTTTCCGTGATATGAGCCCTTTAATGCTACGTGCCGGCACATGCGCATTACTGGAGATTTTGCAACAAATGAGATGTCATTAGTTCTAAAGGCCTTGCTGCTGTGTGCTTTCCAAATATTTTAGGTTGTGAGATTTTGGATTGTAAATCACTCAATCATTGTTTTCTGTTAAGTGGATACGTAAGTTTAGATTTTACTTTCAGACTGTTTTTTTTTATTGTACCTTTAACCTCACCATGTTGATGCTGTTCAAATGCTGGTATTTGTCATTGGACAATCCTTTTTGGTCTAGACTTAGGCTTAATCTGGAAAGAAAACTGGCTGATTAGAAAACTGGTGTTGACAGTTTGCGGTTTTCTTAACACAAGATTTTAAAAGATTTATATCATGGTTAATGGAATTGTCATCACTTTTATTGCAAAAAAAGATATGATGCAGTGTGTAAACACTGTAAAAGTAAATGATAAATGGAATTCAAACTGCAAAAACAGCTCATTCTGAATTAGGTGTTTTTGTGGTGTCACATACATCCCGTCTATTAATCAGTTTAGCCCCATCCTTTCTAACAGAAGTTTAAGAGAGCACTTTAGCCTGAAATGCTTTTGTATGAGACTCAACCCAGGGCAGCCAATCAGAACAGAGGCTGTTTACATATATCACCAAGGCACAGCAACAAAAACAGCCTGTTTAATTAAGAGTTAAGAGAGGAAAATGGACATGTAAAAAATTACCTGACAGGTTTCAAGTGGACCTCAGGGAGAAAAATAAAAGACAAGACAAATGGTATGGGCCCTTTAATATACATTGTTTGGTTTTATTTAATTTTTATTTTTATTCTTTTGTTCTTTTTTATATATGTCATCCACCACACTCAGAAGTCATTCATACACTTTATAAAATTACTGTTGACAGATTGCTGTGAAAATGTTATGATGAAAATAAATGTATAGAATGTTGACATTTGACATGGCTTGCTTCCTCTGAATGAACTGAACTACAGTAATGTTAGAAGTGACATATTTTTATACCATACACACACACACACACACACATATGTCCTGTTAAAAGTGTTTTAGAGAGATTTTTGTGGTTTAGAGAATGAAAAAAGTATGATTACTTTTTATTAAACTTTTGGACTAATATGGAGAATTGTGTAAGAAGGAAGACTGGACACTGCATTGGATGTGAAATATGTTCTTATTTACTTCTCTAAGGATCACAGATTGGATGTGAAATATTTTCTTTTTGAATGGTATTTATTTATGTGTAAATATTTACATTAGAAGTGATGGTCTGATTACAAGCCAAACTTTGCACATTTCCTCCATGAGATTAAGTATTATAACACTATTTTTAAAAATCTTTTAAAATAAAAAAGAAATATATATATATATATATATATATATATATGTTTATTTAATGTATCCCCTTGCTGTTGGTTGATTGTATATTGTTGAAAACTTCCTACAATTAAAAAACTACAGGAACGTTAGGCGGCATCCCGTAGTTACAGAAAGGCGTAAATACCGTGAAATGTTATTGGCTCGTTTCTGTCGCGCCTGTGTGCTTTTAGCCAATGAGATCGGGCGATGTTAGCCGCCGCCGCTTACCGTGAGGCTGCGTTGTAGTGCCCCACTTGCATCTCTGAGCCGGGTACGACTTAACACGTTTAATTTAAACCTTTATTAGTATTAATTGTACACTGAGTGTAAATACATGGAGCTTGTGATGTTTAACCTGGAGCAGAGTTTACAGACGTTGCACATTAACGTTAGCAAGGCTAGCTAGCGTAGCCAGAGTAAACGGCAGTGTAAACAAAGACGCTGTGGGAGCTAAACGGCTATAATAATAATCCGATATTATGTTTTACTTCAGCTAAAGGTGGGCCAGCTGCAGTCGCCTGGAAGAATAACGGCTTCTTATTTGGTAATGTAGTCTCAAATGTTACCTCAGTGCTTTGCTGTTTAGTCCATTGAATGGGGACACAGTGGCCAGAATTAAAATAGTCTGTTAGCTAACAGAACGAGGCTGGAGTAGCCTTCCTATTAGCCAGCTTCTTGTTTGAATTTTCCCGTTCCACCTTAAATAGTGCAGCATATACATTCTGTCGCCCGAGGTGTAGTTGGCGGGTGGCCACAGTGCAACTGCTGCACCATTTAAGGTGGAACGGGAAAATTCGAGCAAGAAGCTCGTGTTAACCTCACTGTTAACGTTGCTGTCAAGCCACCTGAGCTCAAACACAGAGAGCTGATGTGTTTTATATATGAATGGCTTCACACCCCCTATGGAACGTTAAAGGACAACGCCACAGATTTTTCAAATTTCTGCATAATTAAATGCATGTCAACAGAATCGTTCAGTGTTTTAGTGCAAAATGCCTTGTCCTAAAGACACAGAGTCACAGTGTTGGTGATAGGAACCAGACGTCTGACGAGTTCAATGCCTCTAAAAGGTCTGTCACAGAACGTTATTACATGAAATGGTTATGAATACCCTGCCTGATCTGTGAGATGTTGTTTTACAGTAGTTTTGTGATAAGGTTTGGCCTAAAATGTACTTTAAACAATTTATTTTAATCCAGTCTCAGTGGAGGGATACACAAAGGCAAAATAGTCCCCCTGACAAACCTTTTTTTTATTATTTGATTTTAAATAAAGTTGCTAAATTTGCATAATAGACATCGGTACCCCTGGTTTCTTTCACCACCACTGTAAAGATTCGGTAAGTTTCTCTACAGTGAACCATTTCATATCAGGCCACTCTGAATGACTTACATCTCAGCCACTGGCTCATGCAGAAATTTTGAAGAATCAGTGGAATTCCGCTTTTATGCATCACATTATATAGGTTATGAAATACTGCTTCTGCTCCCTGTGCAGTAGCTAATATCCATCTATGAGCCATTTGGACTGCAACCCCTGTATCACTAGCTACCCTGTAACGTTATGTCAGCACATTAGGCAGTGCAGCTTTTATACATTTAAAGTAGAATCAAACATTTTTTCAAACTGCTTAATTTTGTTGTTATGATGTAATTACGGTCATTCAGAGTGGTTTGGTTCAAAGTGATTTAGATTGTAGAGAAACTTGCCGACTCAGATTTCTTTACAGTGGTGGTGATAGGAACCAGGGCTCACAATGTCTACAACACACAAATAACCACTTCATTTACTATCCAAAATAACTAGTGAACCTATAGTTTCTTCTGAGTATTAATATGTAATGATGATGATAAAATAGGGTTAAACCTGAATAAAAATGTTTGATTTGGAGACCTAAGTACCTCTCCACCATGAATAGATATAAAGAATATGTTTAAAGCCAAAACTTTATCTCAAAATTATCACAAAACAATGTCTCAGCTTTCAGGCAGCATAGCTGTAACCGTTTCATGTAATAGTTTTCTGTGAAGTCACTTTTTTTTGAAGGACACAGTAGCAGCAGAGTTTAGGGAGTGTGTTTTTGTCACATCTAAACATTCCTAATCGTGTCATGTCATACTTTGTTACAGGACCTGATAATCAGTTAGTGGTGATGCTCAACATATAAAAGACCATGGTAGGATATTCTCGTACAGTTTTGAATGTGGATATTTGACTGGCTGTGATAACCTAGAAATATATTCCCTTTTCGTACACCGTTTATGATATAACCTCACTTCTGTTATAGATCCGGATAGCTGCTCTTAATGCAGCCTCTCAGACTGCAGATGAACATGAGGATCACTTCAGGAGTACCAAACCAAGTCAGACAAAGGAAGCTCAGGTGAGTTTGGGAGATGCAGATAAAAATCACGCTCCTCTGAATGTCCTGATAGTGAAGATGTTATTGGTGCCTGTGAACTGTGTTTAGTCTGTTCACTTTGGCTCTGTTTGCACCTGGTATTCAGTTACTGATCAACACTTTTTCTCGCAATTGTTGCCTTCTCCTTTTTCTTATTTCCTCTCTCTCAACTCCTTAATGTGTTTCAGGAGGCAGAGGCATTTGCTCTGTACCACAGAGCTCTTGACCTGCAGAAGCATGATAAGTTTGAGGAGTCGGCCAAAGCCTATCATGAGCTCCTTAAGACACCACTGCTTAAGGAGGTACAAACGTGGGCCTCAGGATGGGCCTCTAATTCTGTTGGTTAAATTAGATGCGATTGTGTTGCTTAGATCAATTGGTTGGACTTTAAAAACATACTGGCTTTGTTCCAGGCAGTGGCGTCTGAAGATGAGAAGGTTGGGCTCAAACATCCTGGACTGATGCTGAAATACTCCACTTATAAAAACCTGGCCAGCCTCGCCGTGCTCCGGGATGACTTGGATACAGCCATGGACTTCTATGTGGAGGTGAAATATCACTTAACTGCTCAGATTTACAAAGATGCAGCCTAAAGATAAATAGATTTTCCCTGCTTCCTCCACAAAAGTATTGCGAGGTTAGACAGGAATATGGAACACTGGCTAGAAGAACTTTCTGTGTTTGCTGTAAGAAGTAAGGAAAATGTCTTTGATGCTGTACTAGTTAGTGTACACTTAGCAAAGTTAACTTGGCTATCTATGCTAAGACAATGAGTGAACATTCCTCTTAGACTGTCAGATGATTATCCTAAAAACCTTGAGTACACAGCAACCTACACCTGATCTATTTTAAGAGTTTGACCCTTCATATGGATGGAAATGTATAACTGTTTGGCGTCAGCATAGCTGTGAAAATTGATGTTTCCTAATGACATCACCCAGAGGTAACAGGTGCAAAGAGAAAAGCAAAAGCCCTAAAACTGAATCTTGTGGGACTCCACAAGAAATGTTAAAATTTTTGATGAAGTGAAACCATGAACTGTCTATTAACTAAGTATGATTTAAACTGTTCTAAACCTGTGCCTGAGAGGCCTGTCCAGAATTCAGTACGGTGGATTCGAATCTTGTAATCAACAGAATCAAAAGCTGCATTAATGTTCAATAAAAGTAGAATAGAAGAATATTATGCAATGTGCACCAGCGCTGAACCTGAGGTCATTGACGACATGAACCGATGCTGTCTCAGTACTATGGTTAGAACAAAAACCTGATTGAAAATTCTCATATAACTTGTTTGATGTTATATATGCATTTGATTGTGTGAAAACAATTTTTTTAATTTAAGTCTTTACTTAAAAAAGAAAGACTTGAAATTGGTCTAATGGGCTCCCTAAATAGACATTTTGAGAATAAACTGAGTTCTGCACTAACAAACTTTCGCCAGTGGATACAATAGAATGCATATGTAGGTGAAGCATGGACAGGTCACCTGGACACCCCTCCTGTAGGTGCATCTGTAGATAAAGACTTAATTGATAAATAACAACTTTTTGCTTTGTTCTGCTGATGTATGTGTTTGTGGTTTGTCCACAGGCTGTTATGCTGGACTCTACAGATGTGAATATGTGGTATAAGCTGGGTCAGGTGGCTCTAAGGAGAGTGAGCATCCCGCTGGCTCGTCATGCCTTCGAGGTGGGACTACGCTGTAACCCTGACCACTGGCCGTGTCTCGACAGCCTCATCACTGTCCTGTACACACTCAGTGACTACAGCTGTAAGTACTTATAAAATGTGAACCAGTGGTGGAGTGTTTAAGTTTTGCTTAGACAAAATCTTTTTCATCGTATGTGCACGTGCTTGTGCATCCTTGAATTTCTCAGAATTCTTCTAGAATAGCGCATCTCAAAGATTTGATACGACTATTTCATGGTTTTAATTAAAGATGGCACAATATCTCTTTTTCTTTTCCAATACCAATGTCTAAACCTTGGGTATCAACAGATTCCCATTTAAAATTTTTTCTTTAAAAGTTACTAAGCCTTATATTGAGCTATTTTTAATTACAGTGCTTCACTTTAGAAAGGCATCGAAAAATAGGCTATCATGCTCAAACCACTCAAACTCTTTACTACCCCACAGGAAGAAATACACACTTAATAACTGAATATCACACAGTTTTACTGTGTGTTGTATTAGGCCAAAATTGTTACACAATTGAATCCGATTCATTATTTTTTTCCTTCAAAGTCCAGTCCGGCATTTTCTGCTGATATCTGTCAGTACTAATACATGGCTGAAAGTCTGATTCAGAAAGATTTGGACTGTATAATGAATTGTAGATTCATTGTCTGCTGTTATTTGGCAGGTTGCCTTTACTACATCTGCAAAGCCTTGGAGAAGGACATAGGCTACACTAAAGGTCGGGTACTGAAGGAGAAGATATTTGAGGAGCAGCCTTGCCTCAGACGAGACTCCATGAAGATGTTTTCTAAAATGTATGTCCCCTGTATCATTTTTGTACATGCTTATCTGAGCACTTGTGTTGTGCAAGTATCAATCAAGCCTCATAATCATTCATTTATATTCTGTGGAGTTGTCTGACTGTTTAACAAGAGAGTTTTCCAAAGATGTGGCTAGTAACAGAGGTTTGTAATTAAAGGAGAAGTTGTCTTTAGTAGGCTTTTCATGCTCAGTGCTGTTATGTCATCTCTACAGTGATATGATGGTGTATCACGGAGAGGTAGACGAGGAGGAAGCTCACAGTATTGTGGAGGAGGCGCTGGAACTGAGAAGACAGAGACAAGCCAAACTAACCCGCCATCCCCGACCAGACCTTCAGTTAGTGGAGCCCATCAAACGCTTCACGTGAGTCACTGCTGCAGTTAACAGAGCATGTATAGTGTAGGTTCTGAAAAATGAGCATTCTGTCAGACCCTGGATGCTCTTTTGCTACACCTGTCAAAACTCATGTAATCAACTACCCTTCTTTAGCTTTACATATCCTGTAATAAGTAAAGTACGGGCCTGTCTCCTGAAGCATGTTCAGCCTGAGCCAGATTCCTTCAAAAAACATGAACGCTACCGCAGTTCATTTGTTGCTGGATAACAACTTTCTCTTTTAAGGATGGAGTAGATAATTTAATCCAGAAACACTTTTTGTTGTATTTCTTGAAATACTCTTAACACCCCGATAGCAAACAATAAATCAATTGCTCTGGCAGTAAAACATCTATGGAGGCCAAAGGACTGTAAAAAAACGATTGGATGGCCTACCTGCCTGTCTACCTACCTACCTCATGACCTGCCCACATGCGCATGCTCGGCACGTGTACTCAATTGTGGAGTCCGTCACACAGACACAGCTGAAAGATATCGAACTAGGTTCACGAGAAACGTGAAAAGAAAAGAAAGACAGAAGTAGAATTCAAACAAAAAGAGGTTGGATAAAGCAAGAGGTCAAATCAGAGTGAACATCAGTGTGGCTTTCCAATGGAGGGGAAACCTGAGGGAGTTGAAAGGTCTGGAAAGCAACGTCAAAGTTGCTGTTTTTCTTTTGGACATGAAGGAAATAGTTTTTATCCTGAATTACGTAGCCATCGTAGTTAGCTACTTACATAGCTACATTATGTATTAGTACGACGCTAGTGTTGGCTAAGCTGTAGGTGTGGGCTAGCTAGCTATGTTTATCTTGTATGTAATCTGTGTGTGTATATGTTCGATGATGTCTGTGTTGTAGTTTTGAGCAAGTGTTGTTTGATAAGGTAGATGGATATAGTTATAGCACACCACGCATTGCTCTTCAGTGCTCTCTGCCATCACTAGTCAGGAATGCATTAATGTGTTTTAGGGGGAGTGGCTTTGGAAGGAGAGCTGAAAGTAGGGGGTGTGATTTTTTTTATTTATTTATTTTTTTTTATTTATTTTTTTTTTCAGTTGGAAAAAAAACTAGCTTGCGCTTTCTGTTTTCTACAAAATCACCTACTCCAGCTTTAACTCAGGTTTAGATACTCAACCTATGATTGATCTTCGTTTTATGCACATGAAAGCATGTAATTTACAACAAACAGCCAATAGTGTGAAATATGAGTCATGTGGCTTGTTTTTTTTTTTTAAAGAATGGAAAAAAACATATCTTAATATGTGGGAAACCAAAGCTTTTACAACAGTAAAAAGCAGTGCTCGCTCAACTACCACTATGTTGGCTCTTTGTGGAGCAGTACTTGTTTTATATCCTTGATATCTGTGTAGTGTGATTAATTTCTGCTCTATTTTACACATACTCCATATCACAATGAAGAGAAAGTGGCTGAAAAGGACTGTGTTCCACTTGTCCTTGATGGGTTCGTGGCTCTGCCCTGAATCCCAAACATAACCTGCCCTGGAGCAGGTTAGGAGTGCAACATGAGTTGCCATGGGAATGTAGCCCAGTAAGAAGTGATCCACTATCGTAAGACCGAAAATCCAGGGTTGGATCAAATTATGCTTGAACTTAGCTAGCAATACAAGAAATCCTGCTTTGTGAGACAGAGCCCAGCTTTCATCAACATCCCGAATTATAGTTATTGTTAATAATTATACAGAGCTTAAACAACGGCAACTAGTGCATAGAAACTAGATAATGAGACATATATTGGACATTGTGGAAATGTTTAACTGTCATGATGTTATATTTTTACCCTGTCTCATGCCTTCAGCTGGAAGAGTGTGGGAGAGAGTTTCCTGGCCATGTATAAACACCAGAACGAGTGCTTGGTCCCACGGCCTGACTTCGGCCGTAGAATTGACCTATCTATGTACAAGGACCCAGACTGCCTCCTCCAGACACCTCCTACCACAATCCCTACTGCTGCACCTACTGCTCCGGCTCCGGCTCCGGCTCCAGCTCCAGCTGCAGCTCCAGCTCAAGCCAGTGAGCCTCCTCAGCTCTCCACCCCTGCTCCCCTGCCTGAGCTTCCCCCTCCACCTCCGCCAGGCTCCAGCAGCCCGAGCTCCAGCCTGCCCACACCCTGTGAGCCTCTGATCCAGCTGCAGGTGCAGACCAGCGTCCTGGGACAACTCCCACAAAGCCAGATTATCATAGAGGTTGGCACTACTGCCACAGTCACTGTTCCTGCTGTTGCGAATGGAGCTGCTGCTGCTGCTGTTACTGGTGTTTCCACTGCACCCCCTGGTGGTTAGTATTAACACTTACAGCGTAGGGGTGGGGGAGCCATTGCTGCTTAAGAATTTTTTAGTTGTGGAGTCTGTGGACGTGTGCCATATGTGTCTACAAATTCAAGTACAGTAATCACAACTGCAAAAAAGCTCCAGTGTAAAATTAATGAAGCAAACTTCAGACGTCAAATGTGTCTTGGCTGATTGACAACATTAGTGGTAATGAGAAACCTGTGTAAATTAGTTATAGTTGTGGGTAAGTAGATAATTGTGCAATTATTTACTTACCCTAGATGAAGCTGATTAGCCAAAACATGTTGGGAATACAAATTTTCCTTCTTTTTTATTTTAGAATGGGAGCTATGAGGCTAACGCTGCTAATGTTTGTTACCTATAGCTTCTCAATGCGGCTTAGAACAAAGTATGTCTTACTGTGAGCTATAAAATTGAATTATGGGCTGTTTGGGTGACTACTGAGTTCTAATGTTTGTTAGCTAACATTGCTAACTCTGTGACTAAAAAAGAAAAATTTGGACACCGAACATGTCTTGGCCAATCGGCTACATTTCGAGTAAGTGGAAAGTTGTGCAAATGAGATTTCTCACTAAACCACTCCTTTAACGTGAGAGTAGATTTGATTGGATAAAAGTATTTCCTTTGCAGTGCTTGACCCAGCTTTGAATGATAAAGCCAAGAAAGCCCCCAAGAGGAAGAGGGTGATGGAGGACTGTGCCGAGACGGCCAAAAGGCGCTCAGCACGTGTCCGCAATACTAAATGCAAGAAGGAGGAGAAGATTGACTTCCAGGAGCTGCTTCTTAAATTCCTGCCCTCACGGTATTACTACTCTTTATAAGCACACACAGTTTCTAAGGTGCTTAGATTTAGCTACGCTTCATCAACACTCAGCTGATCAGAAGCATCATAATGTCGGATTGTATGTATTTTAGGGCTGCAAAAAAACGATGATTGCCATAGTCAGTCAGTTCATCGTAGCGTAGATTCATCAGGAAAAGAAAAAGCACAGCTAGTAATCCACAACTAACAAAATATTTCACATCGTATGCACATCGTTTCTTTCAATAAATGAAAAGGACTATGCCTTCTCCTGCACAGTTGAATTAATTAATGATGAATTAATAGATACGTTAATTAGGTAATTAAAATCATGTAATCAAACCTGATGTTTTCAAGCACGCAGACAGTCCGGTCATCAGCCATGTTAGACAAGCAGTGTCCTAAATCTTGCTCACCTCATTTGGAACAGTAATAACTGCACATGATGTCAGTCCACATGATCTTCCATCCAAGTCAAGTCAAAAGGCTTTTATTGTCATTCCATCCATGTACAAGTACACAGTGGAACGAAATTACGTTCCTCCAGGACCAACATGGTGCAACATGGAACAAAATAGACAAAGTGCAAATGTGCAGACATAGGTGTGCAAACATTAAACTAGAAACAATACAGTAAATATGATAAATAAAACCGACATTAGACACAGTAAACAGACAGGACAATGCAGCGCTGACACAGCACTCATTTCTGAACATGAGGTAGTGAGGATAAGGTGCAGAGATATTTAACATGCTGTGAAAATACAGGCAAAAAGTTTTCAGTGACCTAAAACTAATTGTTTTTGCGTGTATGGAAGAATGTAAAGATAATTTTAAGAGCCCTTATCCTGCATTTTTGTTTCAAGTTATTTGTCCCCGAAGGTCCGCTTGGTTTTATGCACCAAAAACAGTCATAATTTGTTTTTATATGACCATTCTCTAACACCTCTTTGGCCTTTCGAATTTAACAGTCTTCTTTTGTTACTGTGCCTTTGAGATTGATAAATGAACTCCGTTCTGATTGGCTGCCCAGGCTGAAAAAATTTGATGTGGATGAAGATGAAGAAAGCCTCAGTAACATGGACACCCAGTGTGACGCCAAACCCGCCTCCCAGCTGAATCAAGGCACTGGCTCCAATCTTTCTGACTACATCAGCTCTGTAGAGACAGGTAAGGGAGTAGGGGGCTGATCGTTGACGAAGTGTAAAGGGTACATTGGGATACATTAGCCTTGTTGTTCCAAAACTAAAGAAGCAAACTTTGGGTGCCAGATGTATCTAAATATAAATGGCTGATCAGCTTCATTTGCGGAGGTGAAATTTTGTACGTTTTTGCTAAACTATCAGTGTAAGATGCACATATATGTTTATTCAGACCTTGTTGATAAAAAAGCAGGAGCATCATACTGTACACAGAGGAGGGCACCTCGTAAGATTCGTATTATAATAAACTGCGTTTGGAGCCAAAAGTGCATCTTCATACACGTGTTTGAAGAGAATGAATGGGAACTCACATTATTTTGTAATTACATTTTCCTACTCTCCCTTATGTGCATTTTTATTCATTATGTGTATTTTTATTCATTTATTTCATTTTTCTTGCCACTCATTTTCCTCCTTTCTACAGAACATGAAGAGGTGCACTCTTTCCTGCTGGCTAACATGCAGAATGGAGGTATCCTGGAGCTTCTGTTGCGCTATTTGAAGGTTATGGGGCAGAAATTTTTGGAAGAGTGGCCCCCAGGACTGAGTGGAGTGGTGCTGGATATTTACAATTGCTGGAGGAAACACAGCGCAGGGCTGCCCAACCCACTGTTGAGAGATTCCAACAACCAGCACATCAAGGTAATGTGGTGAGAGTAAAGGTTAAAATTATATTGATTATTATTAAATAGTTAGTTGCTTTGTTTGTTTTTGCAGCCAATAGATTAATCTGACAGATGTGCATCTGCTTATGTTTGTGTGCTTGTATGTAATAGGAGATGATGATGATGAGCCTGTCCTGTATGGAACTGCAGTTGGAGCAGTGGTCTCTCAGTAAGGGAAAGAACAGTGAGTTCCTCCATACATGCATCCTCATGAATTTATTTATTATTATACAACAGTTGGTTCTGACCTAAGAGTGCAGATATCTCCCAATAATCACACTCTGAGCACATTTCTTTGAGTATCACACATTCACCCATAGCATAGCAGTGAAAACCAGCTGTTAAAAACGGGCCAACAAGTAACAAGTCTGTTAAAAGGACTGTAAAGCAGGCGATGCAAGTGAGCGACAGTGACAAAAAACAAATTGCTTCCAATGGAATGAATGAAGCTGTTCACTCCAGACCCAAGTATTGGATGTCCCGTTTCTGTTTTTGACACTTTTGATGTTCCACCTTAAATATTTTTATTGCTAATCTAATAATAAAAATCAGTAATAAACTGTAAATAGTGTAATCAGTGGTATAATAATGAGTTATTAACACTGGTGTGCTGCAAATGTAGATCAACAAAAAGAAAAGCCAGGCAGTAGTAAATGGTCAGATACAGTTCTGACCTAGTTCAAGCCTAAGAGTTTGACATAGTTGTTTGCTTTGTGCAGTGGGTGAGGTTTTAAAAAAATTTTTTTTTTAATGCCAGTGTCTCAGAGGAAAAGTGTCTCAGGGGGTGATCACGGGGAGTTGGACAGCCAGGAGTCCCGTTTCCAGACAGACCTCTTCATGATGACCATGGCCTCCTCGCAGAGAGACGTGTTTGAGCGTGACTGGCTCTGCTTTGCTGTCAGAGTCCACTGGCTCAAAGCTCGACATCTCGCGTTTCAGGTACCAGCTAAAAATGTGGCACTCCACTATGTTCACTTTTTTCACCTCACTGCCCTACTATGTGTTACTTACTCTGACATTACTGATTCTACTGATTTGCTATTCAGCAAAAATTAAGAATAGTCATTTAATAAGGATAATAATAGGGTTTGAGAAGAAAAATTCAAAGAACAGGGTAGGAGGGGAGTGTGCAATTGGGTTGTATAATAATTTATATTTTTTATGCGAGATACCTAGTTCCTCACCAGCTCCTCACCAGCTGCAAAAAACACAAACTTTTTTTTTCTCGTGCCTGCCATTAATTAATATCTCAGCCTAATTCAAAACAATTCAAGTGGCCCGAGTGCTAATGCTACAGCTTAACCAATAGGTGAGAAACTAGTTGTAGTAGTTGCTTAAAAATCTGCTAAATCAACGCAAAATATTAATTTAAAACAGTTCTTTGTTGTTTGGACCAGATGAGCTGACCAACCTAATTGCATAAATATACAGGACACACTTTGGCAGATTTTAATGCACTAATACTGTTATTTGCTAAATTTAACCTGATGGGGAAAAAAAACACATGTGGCCTGTGCAAAAGTTATGGCACTTTTTTGAATGTTCATCTTGTTAAGCAAATAAATAGAAATTGTGCAGAAATGTGTCATTCCCTATAGAGGATGTGTTAAAAAGTGTTGTTTCCTGTCTTTCTTTCCACAAGGCTTAAGTTAGCTTCCTATTCGGCAGCTTTTTGTTGGAATTTTCAGTTCGACGTCTTCTACAGGGAACAACCTTAAATATGGTATTTTTCTGAAAATTTCGGTGCAGTTTTAGCTTTGTTGAGAGTCATTTGTCTTGTGCTTTCCAACCGTGCTGGAGTTCGGCAAATATTACAGTCATTAACGCTTCAGTACCAGCTGGTCCATGGCTTGCTAGACAAATCCCAGAGACTGTAACGCTGTCTGATGCAGCTGGCCCGGGTCAAGTGGCTCCTCTGCCAGGCCTCACAGGTCTGGTGTCCACTTTAGGCTAAGGCTAACCCCAAATAACCAGCGCATTCCTTTAAATCCGTTGCCTTGAAAACAGTGGGCTACGTCAGATGAAAGGGACTAGTCAGCGGGTGGTGATCAAGGCTCTGCTGCATTTTCATTTTCATTTGAAATGTGACTGAAGCATCCCTGTCTCAACCATGCAGCTAAACAAGCTAACACTTGTATGATTTGCACTGCTTGAACATCATGTAATCTGTGCTTATTTGTGGCTTACTGGTGTAACGGTTATGACAACTTATACCTGGGAAGAATTTTAACCGATATGCAGCCCACTAGTATTATGCATTATGTTTGTATTCAATCTGCTGTGGATGTGACAAGTTATGCGTGCTGTGTCATAGGGTGACATGGACGAGGCTCAGGAGGGTTATGACCTGTGTGTAGGACTACTGAAGAGCCAGCCTCAGAGCAGCGAAGGGGAGAAACTCGCCATTTACCTGCCCAACCTCTGTGTGGACTCGGCTATTTCTGTAGAGGAGGTACAGCGCTCAGAACCACACACACATCTCAGCATCTGAGAAAATTATATGTAATTCTGTTTATCTGGGTAGTAATCATTGATCTGTTCAAAAACATTGTGTGTATATGTGTATATATATTTTGGGACGCTTGGAAGTATTTTTGACACAGTTCAGCTTTTTGTTTTAGATTGAGAAGAAGCTGAAGTCTCTAGAGAGATGTCAGTCACTGGAGGAGATTCAGAGGCTGTTTGAGAGTGGAGACTACACCTCCGTGTTCAGATTACTCCAACCAACGCTGAGCTGTGGGCCCAGCTCAGCGCGGCCCAAACCGCTGGAGTACCTCAGCTCAGCTCCCGAGAGGCCAGCACAGCTGCTGCTGCTACAGGTGGCACACAGTCGCACCCAGAAGATCACGTAAACACACAGAGGCTCTGTTTGTTACAGGCCATAATGTTCCCCTGTCTTTGTCCTGTCTGCGTTTCCTAGAGCTCCCTCCTGCGCATGAAGGACTTTGCACAGTGCTTGGAGAGTTCAGAGGTTGCACTGAATGAGGCTCTGCAGCACCTGAATGCTGCATTACCGAGCAGTCCTTCTGCAAAAGAGGAGTGGGTGGCCACGGTAACGGCCATGCTTCGTGGGATAGAGCAGTGCATCACCGAGCAGCCGCAGCTCCTCACCAGCACACCGCAGACCACCAACCTGGCCCGCCTCGCCAATAACCTCATACAGGTCTGTGTATATCAGCTCAATTCTTTACAAAACAATTCAGTTTATCATGAAGTTTTAAATTTCATCTTTATTTTGGTACAGTTCATAATTAGTCAGTACTCAAATGTGACATTTGAAAATAAGGTAAGAAGTGTATTATTATATTATAACTGATTATAATTATTAGAATGTTTATATTATTATAACTGATTATAATTTAAAATAACTTTGAGCATGTAATGCATTTTGAATTGCCGCCTTCAGGTCAGTGCATTGGCACTATAGTATTTTCTGATAATTCGGTAGCACTTTATTTGAAGGCTGCCTGCATAGGGATGTTATAAAACATGTATAAGCACTGATAATGTAAGGTGCTTTATAAAGTAAATGACACATTGACTGAAAGTGACAGACATTTGTTCCATTTATAACACTATGAAGCATTATTATCAAGTAGTCAAACTTAAGACACAGGACTAGTTAAGAGTCCCATATATGAATTCTGTATATTTCTACTTGGGTTTAAGTACAAAAATACAGTTTCTAATAAGGAGACCTGAATAACTAACTGTAATAGAAATAGTCTTAATAGAAATAAAAAAAAAATTCAAGTTCAAGAGCATTGAAGTCTTCCATAGAACTCCTATATGGTGTTCTAAAAAGTGGAATTCCACCAAATTTTGAAGCTCTCTACATTATTCAATCCGTGAGATGTGCGTAGTCATTCAGAGTGGTATGATTTGAAATGGTTAATTGTAGAGAAACTGACAGATTCTTATTTCTTTGTTGTGGTAGTGATGGGAACCAGGGATCACAAATATAAGCATTTTGTTTACTGTCCAAAACTACCAGTAAACCTACATGTCTTCTGAATTTTATGTTTTATTTTTTTTTATATAATGCTAGAAATGGTAAAATAGTGGTAAATCTGAAAAAGTAAGTTGTTTTGGGGGACCATTTTGCCTCACCATGGACTACATGTGCCTCTCCATGACTTAAAAGGAATTTAGGCCAAAAGCTTTTTTGTAAAACTGTGATAAAGCAGTGTCTCAGACATCAGGCCGCATATTAGGCCTCATATTTGTAACCATTTTGTGTAAGAACTTTCTGTGACGGAACCTTTAGGGGCATTAAATGCTTCAAATGTCTGTTTCCTATCACCCCCTTGATGAACAGTTCTGACTTGGTGATTCTCTAGAATGGAATATTTCACATAAAACCACTCTGATTTTATTTACATCCGAATGATTTAATTATGCAAAGGTAGAATTAAGGCTCTCACCTTAAAAGTCTCTTTACTTTGGTGTGATATTTCACAACAGTGTTATAAATGTAATGATGGTCTATTACTTTAGTTTAATGTCACTGCTGTCGATACAGTGCCATTTACTTCATAAAACATCTTATGTCATCTTGCAATTACTTGCATAAGCTGTTCATAAATATTGAAGTATTGCTTTATAGATGTTATTCATTGCTTATGCATGTGTTGTGAAGTTTCTGTATAAGTAGCTTTATAAATAAAGTGTTGATAATTCTAGGAAAGCGAATTGCTTTTTTGAAAGGGTGCAAATGTGATGTCACATAAGTTGATCTTCATCTTCAGGAATGTGTGTATGTATCTTTTGTATATCTGACATGCCTCTTGTGTCTGTAGCTGATAGACTGCAGCATGGTGTTGCCTGATGACCCCAAAGAGCCTCACTTCTCCTCCATGCTGCCCTGGATGCTGCTACACCACCTGCTTAAGCAAGAAGAGGCTGAGTTCGACGGCATGCTCCGCCAACACCTCGCTGATGAAGATGATGATGGTATTTTCTGTCAGTTTTTTCCTTCCTTAGTCTGTTGAACTCCCTCTTCCCTGCTAGTTCTGTTTTGTTCACACTGACCACCAGAGGTGGTGTGATACACAGTTGATGCTCCATGCATGAGCACCCTTGCCAGAGCTGCACCCCTGTAGATCTGACAGAAACCTTTTTGATATACTTCATAAGGGTGGGCGGCATGACGATTAAAAATTGTCACAATGTGCATTTCTGAACCTATCATGGATATTGTAAGTACATAAGGATAAATTCCAGTGTAAATTCCAGTGATATTCTGTTAGATCTGGGGTGTCAAACTCAAGCAGTAAAAGGGCAAAATTAGTGGGCCAGAGAAAATAAATGTTTTTATTTCATCTTAAATTTATGTTGTGCTGTAGCAGATGGAAAAACAGTAAAATACAGACACTTGTAGTAGACCTCGAAATATTTGCACTTGAAAATATTAAATGTCCCCAGGTGCTCAGTCTTTTAAACCTACCTATCTGCTTAAACTAGACACCTGGCATCCTTTTCTGCAAGTTCATAAAGACTTGAGCTCAGTTTCTGAGTGGCTAGGCTGATGTTAAGTGTTAATGTTGGTTAAACTGCAGCTAAAATGCATTTCAGTGATATGACTGGTTTGGAATTGCACAGACTTGTGAACTGAGGTGTAACCACTGTCCCATAGACTGTTGTTGCGGTAGGAGAGTTGGAGCACGTTACATTGCAGTGCATGCTGGGGACTGTAGCGCAGCACATTGTGAAACAGGCTAATATTAATAGAAAATTAAAATACTTTCGCGTGCTGGATAGGATTGTGTGGTGGGCCTGATCTGGCCCATGTTTGACACATGAGTGTTACATGGAAATATTGATTCAAAAACTGTTTAAGGATCTAAATATCATTGTTCTTACAGTTTTTTGATCGCAGTATCTGTATTTGGTGTAGAGCAGTTGCTTCTGAGCATACATCGTGCTCCACACTTGTTCCACTCAGAGGTTAGTGGACGGTGCCCAATATATCCCTCCAGTGTCGCACCAGTTCACAGCGTGAAAAAGCTTACTATTGCTGAAATCCGTAGCAAATGCCAAATGAATAACTGCCAGTTGGACATCACTGGTTACTGTCAGAAGCTGGAACATTCACTAGATGAGGCCAGCAGGTAGCTAATAGGCTAAAAAGCAGGTTCTGTAATAATTAGAAACAGCCTTCAAATTCAGACCTTTCCAGATGGATTCACTGTAAAGCTGCATATAAAATAAGGAATATTTGATTCTGTTACGACCTTTACTTGCCCAAGTTTAAGCCAGAATTGGCATTAAATGTGATTATGCAGCACCACTAGCTTGGCGCTAACACTACAAATTTCCATAGGAAAATTTTTCCAGGTTTTAGGACACTGTCCACTTTTTGACTTATCAGTATTAAATATTTCTTGTCATGCTGCACTGTACATAGGCCACACCCCCACATCAGTCCCTCCATGTCGTTGAAGTTTAGAATGATGTCCTGCATCGTTGAAGTATTTACCACTGGAGTTGCTTCTTCAGCACTGACCAGCTGTATGTTTCATTATAAAGAGAGTCCTGTTTAACTGGATTTAGACCAGTGCGGTATATAAATTGTTGAATAAAATCATTGTACTCATATTTTTTGATGGTATTTTTCAAATATGCCACTAGTAGTCTTGCCAAAATTCAGGAAAAAAATATTGTGATGCATATTATGTATCAGAAAAATGTCTTGAGGTGTTGTGATGTTGTATTTTACCCTTTTGCCCTCTCCCTATATTACTTCTGATGTTTAGTGTATATTGATGAAACTGGTTCTCTTAGGTACCCTGACTAAGGTTGCACATTATTTGTCGACTAACTACAACTCATGGTAACTGCTAATTTGTTCTTGTTTTAATGCACTGGCTAATTGTCTGCATCATTAAGCAGACCGTTTTTTACCTAATAAGCAGCCTGAGGTTTCTTTCCTGCAGGGCAAATCTGAGTGATCTCCTGAATATTTAACTTCACTCCCACGCTATAGTGGTAAAATTGAAAAGATGTAGACTAAAGCACCCGAGCCGAATTTCTGCACCTACTCAACCCCAACAAAGCGCAGTCAAGCGTTATGGTTCGTGGGGGATTTTACATGTGGTAGATTAGGCACAGCTGAGGTAGTGAATAAGCTGTACTGTGGCATTTTCAGAGCACCTTTCTTTTATCTCGTATAATCTGTGTCTTGTAGATGACGACACTCCGCTGTTGCCTTCTTCTCTGATGCTGCTGAACACGGCTCATGAGTACCTGGGCCGCCGCTCCTGGTGCTGCAACTCAGATGGAGCACTGCTTAAATTCTTCGTGAGTATAAACACACTCATCATGTCACATTCAGCACAGTCATTACACACCTGCCTGCACCTGGCAGAGCTGAAGTGTGTATGTTTGTCTTGTCTTTGTGAGGAACACAAGAAATCAGTCCTGACTTTGTAAAGCTGGGGCAAAACCATAAATTAAAAATAAACGGTTTGTGTTGTTTAATTCAGGCTCAGTGTTCTTTGGTGCCAAATTCACAGCATAGTAGTAGCTGGAAATTAGTTTTATAAGAAAGCCATCAATGGACGGCATTAACAGTTTTAAATAAATAAATATACAGTGTTGTGCTGTGCGTTTGTGTATACATACATATATGGGGACATGACCCCACATCCTGACTGAGTACAAAAATAAATCTGTCTGTGTGTTACAGGTGCGTGTGCTGAAGCAGAAGCTAGCTGAAGGGGAAGCTCTGCCATATAAAGAGGAGCTGGAGACTGCGCTGGAGCAGTGCTTCTACTGCCTGTACTCATACCCCAGCAAGAAGAGCAAACCACGCTATCTGGAGGAGCACTCTGCACCACAGGTATGTACACTGCCTGTCAAACATATGGTGGGCATGTCAGCACTCAGCACTCAAAGCTTTGAGCTGTTTAAACCGCATTTAGGCCTAAACAGTTTCAATATGCTGTTTAACAACAGTTTGAAAAAGAAAACTGTCGAATCTTCATTTAGGCAAAACTCGCTCTCTGTACCGAGGAAGACACTTTGATGAACATGAAGCTGATGTTGATCTCACTGGACGATGGACTTTAAATTTTCGAAACATCTGTATAATTAGATGGTTAGGATGCAAACAAAGTCATTAAAAAGTGGTGTGATGTAAAATGCTCCATTCTATAGAAACTTACTGATTCTTACAGTGTTTGTGATAGGAACCAAACGTATGAAGCATTTGATTCTTCACATAGATACCGGATAGAAAGCTATTACACATAATGGTTACAAATACGCTGCCTGCGAAATTGTTTTGTGATAGTTGTGAGATGAACATTTTGGCCTGAAACACATTTGGTAAATCCATTAATGGTGGAGGGGTACATGCAGAGCATTTTAAGGCAAAATAAACCCCAAACAAAACACATTTTTAAGATTTATCACTAATTTACTATTAACAACATTATATATAAAACATAAAACTCAGAAGACAAGTGTAGGCTCACTTGTCATTTTGGATAGTAAATAAAGTGGTTATATCTGCATAGTAGACGGTGCAGGTAGGTCTGTGCGACAGGGTAATGTAATCAGATCTCTTTGATGATGGTTTATTAACCCCGATGGCAATGTGTAAAAGGCAAAAAATGAGAAATAATTAGAGTACTTTAATGTTAGACAGCTTGTAAATATGTTGTTGCACGCCCCAGTAGTCAGCCTGCTTTACCACACGGCTTTCCCTTCTACAGATTTTAGTTTGTTAAGTTTAGCTTGAGTAAATGGAACTGATAATAATTGCTAATGTGCTTTGCAACTTGGCTCAAAGTGACTCGCTGCAATAAAAAAAGAGCTAATGTGACTGGATATTACCCTAGTGCAGCTCAAATCCAGAGAGAAAGTTCTTCTAAATCCCCATCTACTCAGTTCTCAGAAAAAAAGATAATAAATAATATTAAATAATATGTACATGTCATTTTTAATTTGCTTTTACTGTTAAAACAAAGTTATAATAGGCCCTACGGTACGGCTGCGGTGGAGTAAGTTCCCCACTGTGTCTACTGCGTGTGATTTGCTGGGTATAATTTGTCAGTATTTTCTGTACAGCTGAAGTGTCTCAGTGGTTAGTTGAATTATGAAAATGGAAACGGAAAACACCTTTTTTTTTTCTTTGTTGTGTAAAACACGTGGGCTTTGAAAATTAGTCTGAAGTTTCTCCAGCAGGGAGCGCTATTAGCACACAATTCGCCACAAATCTGCACCAGAAGAAGCTCACAATTGCACTTCTTTGCAGTAACATTTATTAATGCTAATTATTTTTAGCCCAGGCCTCATCACGACCCCGGTTCCTATCACCACCACTGTAAAGTAAATGAAATTGGCCACTAAGTTCCTCTACAGTGCACCGTTTCACATCAGACTCTGAATGACTTTGTTTACATCTTAATTAGTGAATTATGCAGAAATATGGAAAAATCAGTGGAATTCCCCTTTAATATATATGAGCTATTTGTAATATTTTGGAAATATTTATTTTTTTTAATTGAATAGTAACAGAAGGCAAGGTGTCTTCAGCACTTTTTACTAGACACAAAAACACATACTCTTTCTTTCTCAAACCCTCCCACATGCATACATACTGTACAGGTGCAGCAAGAAGTCTAAAGCATTGAGTCTCTTAGCACAGGTCCACATTAACCTGCTGTGCGACTGCAGCCCTTTCCCCTGGCAGTGGCTATGACTGCTCTGCATTTTGATTCAGTAGCACCAGCTAGTGCAGTCCCTTGTGTAGCTTGCAGCTCCCCTCACTGTGCCTGATTGCCGTCTCCCTGTGGCTGCTTTGCAAGCTTTGTTAGTTAATGAGTTTACGAGTGTTTTCCCAGAGCTAATTAGGCAGCTGGGTGGCGTGAGGTCTACCCGGGCACCACGGTGACAGCAGGCCGACTCTACAGTAATCAAGCGATTGATTCTCTCTCAGCCTGCTCCAGGCACATTGATTGTGTGGCCGCACACACACACAAGTTATTCCCCACACTTCTCCGGTTACCAGGGAAATGCTCCACACTCACACATATAGAAGCAACCGAGGGGAACTCCAGTGTTTTCTTAATATCTGTGTGACTGTGCGTGTGTAGCATAAACTAGGGCTGAAAGATTCATTGTTTTTATATCAAAATCACAATTTTGCAAGAGCTACTTTAATCGTATCTTACAACAGTGTTTTCCAACCCTGTCCTCAGGGCCACCCAAGCGCTCTACATTTTTGCTCCAAGCTAATTCAAAACACAGGGATGAAGGAAAAATGTGGACCGCCTGGGGGCCCTGAGGACCGACTTGGGAAACGCTGTCCTACATTCTTAACAACTTTTAAGTGGAGAACTTTACCTTAGTGTAGTGTTGAGCTCATGAACTGCCATTCTGGCACACTGCGTTCAGCGTTCAAGCCTCAGAAATGAATGTGCTGTTTTTCCCAACAATTGGAGCTTAATTTATGGAAAACAATCATGTTTAAGAAAAATCACAAATAAAAATGTACACCAATTACACAACAGCAAATTGATCAGCCTTAGCATAGTCTTTTAGCTACAAGTTTTTTTGTAACTTAAGCCGCTGTATTGCTCTCATTAGGAATTATTAGGAAATAATCTGAACTGCTCTGCTATATCAGGCTCATTTTGCTGACATTAAAACTTCAGAGGGCAGAGGAACATCCCATAATACCCTGAGGATATTGCTATGGCGTCTGATGGTTTAATAATTCCATTTGGGAAAACGGGTGACATGATTCCTACCATCAAAAGCCTCAATTATTTTTAAACGCCAGTTGAAACCTTAGCTGCTCCTTACATTAAAATTAAAGGGGCTCTCTGGCCAAAATGAAAACTTGTAAACATGCCTACTTGCTTCTTACAGTGGTGCCACAATCGTCTCTAGAGTGAAATATCTCAGTTTAAAGACTAGAGAAGACCCACCTTCTGATGATGTCTTGAAGGTTGGAGAAACTTCTTAAAACCTCTAATTGCTTTTAGCCCAATGTTGAAGGCAGGATTCTCAGTAGCTGTTCACTGCAGAAAGAATTGACTATGCTACAATTTAGAAGTTCTTTATTGCAGTGAAAAGAGATTCCCAGTGGTTGTATGATGTCTTTGCGTAGTGCATGCTGGGTATTGTAGTGCGAGAACATTGATGGCTGCAAACACAGAAAAGAAACAAAATCATGAATTCTGTCCAACTGATAAGGCTGAGGTAAATAACTCTGTGCTAGAAAGTAATTCATAACATTACCAATAACACATTAAATGCACGTTTCAGGCTTGAATGTCCGTTTTAAGACTTGTTTTCACCTTCTCCTGAGAAGTTTCAGGGATGTAGTTTTGTTAGGTTTTAGTAGGGCTTGACTGATGAAATGTTTGTGACAGATACTGGCTTTAAAGGGATAAAGATTCCAATTCTAAATATTTAGATTTACTGTAGGTTAGTGTTCATAAGGCTACATGACACCTACAAAAGCTTGTCATGACAGCTGACTTAACCCTGTATAAATGTTTATAAATGCTTAACCCAATAGTCGTCATTCGCTATAAAGGTTACATTTGCCACTTTCGATTAAAGTTAGTAGCCTTTATGACAGAGGATGCATGTAGGAATAAGCATTTATAAACATTTATACAGGGTTATGGCAGTTTTCATGACAAGCTTCGTAGTCTTATGAACAGAACCATACAGTAAAGTCTTACCACATTTTCGTACTTCAGTAGTTTTTAGTTGAACAGCGTTTTAATGACAGATATGATTGTCGGTTTTCTTCAGTCACACATTTTAAGCTCAGATAAACAGCAGAAACTCAGTTTCTTTGCAGTATTGGTTTCTGTAAATTATTTCTTAGATTTCTCATTTTTCATTGGTTCTTTGTGTTGATATTCTCATGATAAAGTGGGTTGGAAACATTTTACAGCTTTTTGTTCACATTCACAGTTAAGCGTGTATGGCTACATTAGTGTGTGTATATATAGTTAAATGGGGGCTAACTCACACTGGGTTCTCTAGTGTTGCAGTTGTCTAAGGTGCTAAGATGGGAGATCAAGTTTGAATCTTGGCAATGGCACAAGCAAAAAAAGTCAGTAGTTATTGGCGAGGGTAGGGGAAATCAGCCTCTCTTAATCTTGCCTTATAAGGCTCTTATCAGAGCCTTATTTCCTTTCTCTTTCTTGTCCTCCGCTGACTCGAAGTTAGCCTGCGGCGTTAGCTTTTTTCATCATTCATATTTGATGTGCTCTTTGAGATCCAAGTTTCTTGTAACTTTAAAACCCCTATATTGCTCTCATTAGTAATTATTAGGAAATAATCTGAACTACTCTGTTATATCAGGCTCATTTTGCTGGCGTTAAAACTTCTGAGGGCAGAGGAATATCCCATAATACCCTGCGGATATTGCTATGGCGTCTGATGGTTTAATAATTCCATCTTTTGTCACCCCTCGGTGTCTGAATACCTTAGAGTTAATGAAACCCACTCTACTCACAAGATATTACACTGCTGCCATTGTGTCTTCATTATTAGGCCTTAGTGAGATGCAAAACTGTTGCAAATGGGCAATAACCCCCCCCTCCCCCTTCACTAATCCTGTGTAACTCATGCAGAGAAGAGACTGTCAGTCATATATTAATATAAGAAATAAATATCCATGTATCACACAGACTTACGTTAAAGGAATACTCCAGCATATTTAACCTCATCTCCACGTACTGCATATACAGCATTCGATCAGTAACCACAGTGTGTGCTTAGAAAAGAACAAAAATAAAGTGCTGTCTTGAAATGCAATTGATAGAAGCCAATAGGCAACTGCTGAAACGCTATCCCTTTGGCTTCTGTCATAAAGCTGGCTTTACATGGAAAACTTTCATGCAAATAGCTGCGTGTTGTGAGTTGCCTGCAACCTAATTACTGTGCTCCTTGATAGTTACACCAAGCAATTCAGAAATAAAGTTGCGGGCGCCATATTCAATTATTAAAGTTATTAATTTTGTTATTTACATATTTGCAGCATTTGTTTCATCTTCATATATTTTTTTTCCAGCTTTTATTACTTTATTTCATTACATTATTAGCTTTTTGATATATAGATCATTCCACACATTTCAGACTTTTAAATTTAAAAATCTAAAAACTGAATTTTTTAACTGAAGCTTGCAAATTTAAAACTAAAGTTTTTTTAAGGGTATGTTTTATTTTCAACTCTATTTCCAAAAAGCAAGGGAAGTTCACTTTGGTTTGTGTGTGTGTGTGTGTGTGTGTGTGTACACTTCAAGTACACTCTTTGTCCATTTTGTCAGCTCCACTTACCATATAGGAGCACTTTGTAGTTCGACGATTACAGACTGTAGTCTGCATGTTTTGTTAATACCCTGTCATCCTGTTCTTCAATGGTCAGGACCACCACAGAGCAGGTATTGTTTGGGTGGTGGATCATTCCGTGCTGCTGGAGCTTTTAAACACCACATTGTCACTGCTGGGCTGAGACCAAAAATACCCAGCCAACAGCTTCCTGTGACCACTCATAAAGGACTAGAGGGTGACCAACACAACTGTGCGTCTTTTATTTTTAAAGCTGTGTTTCTCTTTCTGTCTCTCGCAGGTGGAGCTGCAGTGGAGCGATGCTCTCTTCATGTTTGAGTACTTCAAGCCTAAGACCTTGCCAGAGTTTGACAGCTATAAGACGAGCACGGTGTCTGCAGATCTGGCCAACCTGCTGAAGAGGCTTTCTGGAATCATCCCCCGCTCAGACGAGCCCACACTCTCTGTTGACGATGTATCAGCCTACATAGAAGGAGGGGCAGTAAAGGTATAGCTTCAGTAGCCAAATCCATAAACACTCCTACCTTCCCTTTTGGACTTGTCCTGCATTCGTCTCCACTCAGACGTTTCGCGTTATATATTGAAAGTGATACTTTGCTCAATTACCTCAAATATAGTAGATCAGCCAAGGCATGTTTGGTGTCCCAAGTTTGCTTCTTTAGCCTCATGGCTCTAGTGCGAAACGGATGTTACTAGCAAATACTGGAAGCTGCTAATTAGAATCATACACACTGAATTCCTGAATCAACACACCCTTGGCTCAAACTGTGTTGAGTTGTTAGTACTCTCAAAAAGACTTGCTTATATATGTGTGACATACTGTTATTTATAAAAATGGACAATAATACAGAAAAAATCTAACTTCATGATGGCTGGTGTTACTGTTTTTAGCTATATGAGGAATTTTAGGCAAAGTATTTTTATTGAAAACAGTGTCCCATACAGCATCAGAAACCACATAAGCAAGTCTATTTGATATTACTTTAACATTACTGAAAAGCAAACTCGTCTCTAATTCAGGTGCCAGCTCTCCCTGAAGGATCACCTCCAGCGCCCCCTCTGGTGAATGAGCTCTTCTACCTCCTGGCTGACTACCACTTCAAGAACAAAGAACAGTCCAAAGCCATCAAGTTTTACATGCACGATATCTGTGTGTGCCCCAACAGGTCAGACCCAACTGCATTTCCAGCCGTAGGTTTGGAATGGAAGAGATTCAGTTGTTGGCAGTGGATGAGATTCACTGTAGGCATATAATCTAAAAGCCTGCTATTTAAATTCATCTATATACATTAACACTAGCCCATCAGCATCAAAGCACAGCTGCGTGAAATGTTAAAATAAAGACTGACAGAGAAAAGTGGTCTAATGCTTGTTTCAGACTGCAATTTAAATTTTCCATGATGTCCATTAGTTTACATTCACTATTATAATCTTAGGAAATCGCAGTGTGACGCCTCCAGCAACCCAGCCCCCTGCTGTGTTAACAAGTGAACTGTATAACATTAGAATGAATTTCATGAAAATAGCATGAAACAAACAAATGAATGAAATAAGTGAATACCAAACACTGCTTTTAGTGTTTGTGTCACATATTGTGTTTGTAAGGCATCCAGGCATCATAGTGTTATACACTGCCACAGCAACAACTCTAGTCTCGAGATGACTTAGACCCCAGCCACACATAGGGATTTTTTTTTTTAAATGTAAAGTTTTTTTTTCTCTCCGTTTTGGCCTCCTGTCTACATGAAAATGGCCTTTTCTGTCCCTGAAAACGCAGCATTTTGAAAATGCTGGGGTCGTGGTGTTAAATTCTGTGTGTCTGTTGCTGTTGTCTTTTATTAAGTATGCAGACTCTGTCTGAAATGTGAATAAGGACGTTTGTGTCTTACTCCAGGTTCGATTCTTGGGCTGGGATGGCTTTGGCCCGGGCCAGTCGCATCCAAGACAAGCTGAATTCCAATGAGCTGAAGAGCGACGGGCCCATTTGGAAGCACTCTTTGGCTGTGCTGACCTGCTTCAAGCGGGCGCTGGAGATTGACAGCTCTAACCTGTGCCTGTGGATCGAGTACGGCACCATGTCCTACGCCCTGCACTCCTTTGCCTCCAGACAGCTCAAACAGTGGAAGAACGAGCTGCCGGTAGAGCTCGGCAAACAGGTTTGTGTGAGAAAGATTCTCTGGTTGATTACAGTAATGAGTGTACACTATATGGCCAAAAGTATGTGGACACCTGACCATGACACCTGTATGAGCTTCTTGGTTATCCTTTTCTACAACCATAGACATTAATATGGAGTCCCCCCACCTTTTTAGCTGTAACAGCCTCCACTATTCTGGGAAGACTTTCTTCAAGATTTTGGAGCTGTCTGTGCCCCTTCAGTCAAAATAGGTGTTATTGCTCCTGGGCACTTCCATTTCACAGTAGTAGCACTTACAGTTGACTGGGAAGATCTAGCAGGCTGAAATTTCACCAGTTGACTTGTGGCAAAGGTGGCATCCTGTGATGGTGAGGAGATACATCCAGTTAGCAATGGGTGAGGCTAAAACACCTGAACTCAATAATTAGGAGGAGCTTTTCACCGTGAAGTGTAGTATACTTCAGAGTTTGAAACCGTATCATTTTACACAAGACAAACATCTGTTGATTTGACCATTTAAATAGATGTGAAGAAGCTTGTAAAAAATCTAATGCCAGTTATAAGTTCCACATGCTACCAGTATGTATGCCACTCAAAACCAGCAAGACTCAACACCATGTTAAATGTGATTTCTTTGTGTGCCATGTATTACACATAACATGTGTAACATTGTTGAGGTACCCTTTTTTTTGGTTATCCAGTATATTCATTTGCTCCAGTTTGAGTCTTCAGCTTCTAAACTTGCAGTAGATAACGCTACCTATTATACTACCAAGGACCGTACAGGGCTTGAGAATGGACATTGCATCGCGTTGCATTATGGAATCATTTCGCCATTTTGGCAGAGTTTGTTGCTTGTCTACATGCTGCAAATACTCACAGACACTGAGAGAGCTTAAAGAGCTGTTTTGTGGTTTTTCAGACTTGTCATGCTTACTATTAAATGAAACGGGAGTGTATCTTTATCATTGTGAACAACTATATATGTTATAATTAGCCTTTTTGACTGTCTGGATTCACCCAAAGTCCCAAGCGAGTGGAGCAATAATCTGGACATGCTAATGTTACCTTCTTTCCCATTTGCAGAATTTTTTCCCTAACTGTTGTGTGGCTTATATGCCTGTTCTTTTACATAGGTAACAAACTTTCAAGCTGCTGCAGATATAACTTACTGCCATATTTCATCCAGCCTCTGGCTGATTTAACATTATTTCACTCAGCCACTGGCGTATTCAGCCAGTGAGGTGCAGTCTTTGATTTAACCCCTTACGTGGCCAGGGCCCACCAGCCAGCCTAAAGTTTTATTACACACTTCCATAAACTCAGAATAGCCCAACCGGTTTGCATTGAAGTCCCTGTAGTTACTGAATAAATAAGCCTTAGTGTTATAAGCCTGGGATTTTAAGGTATTAGTTGTTGGCATAATTCTCACTGGCACATTTCATTTTTTGGCATTTTCCACTGTCGACTTTTAAAAAACACTAGTTAGCAAGTGACACTACTGCTGGACTGTGCAATATTAACCCCCACATAATATAGATTTTCTCTCATGTGTCTTACATTTACACTGAAGAGGCAATCAATCTAAAGTCTTTAAGAGAAACAGACCAGTAAACACTAATTGCCTGACACCTCAGCTAACATTAGTAGTCCAGTCACAGCATAACTTACTTCACCTCGTATGTTCTAGCTGGAAAACAGAATTTTTGAAGGTTAAACATTGTTTGTTGATCATAAGTGGTAGTATCACTGCATACCCCGCCACAAAGCTGACATTAGCTTGTTAGTCCAATGTCCCCCATAAATGGTGTAGCAGTTACATCCCGGGGCCAATGAGGCATTTGTGAAAAGTAAGTAAGCTGATTCTAAATGTGATAAACCCACTAAATTGAGTCAAAAGTTTTATTCCATTACATCTGTATGATTAGATCTATAAAACTGCGATGCTTCACATGCTGTTTCACTAGAGCTGCGTCTGAATCACTGAGTGAAACTTCCTTTCTGACCTGTTTTCCTTGATTTTGCTCTGATCTGAGATCTGGTAGTCATGCAGATCCACAAGCTGCTGGTCGTCTCTGCAAACATATTAAGTCAGCCCATGAATGAATGGGGGTTTTTAACCCTGCCACAATGGTGAATCACCCATGACGTCACATGGAAAAAGATTAGTATAGCTAAAAAAAGACCTTTACTGCCACAGATTTCAGTCTTTATCCTTCAAAACTGTATCAGTGAATTTTTCTGAATTGAACCTTGTTTTTTTTTTTTTTTTTTTGCTTTTTTCACTATACTAATGTTAGCCTCTTGTGTTAACAAACTGAAGCTGTAGCATGTTAAACTATTGCTACATTGCAAAAAAATTAATCTGAGCTAAATTATCTTAAATCTAGTCAATATATCTGATATTGATGGTTGTAAGAATATTCTAAGTTTATTAGACTTCTTTCTAGACAATCTTTACTTATTTTAAGTAATTTTATTAAGGGAAATTATCCCACTGTATTGGCAAATAAATATATAAATAAATAAATACAAATAAATAAATATATTTGAAACTAGCGAATTTCACAGAAGAAATGTACATAAAACAGTTAAAACACATTTACGTATAAGTTAAATAATCTTATAATTTTCCTACAACCATCTCATAATGAGAAATGTTTGATATTCAGACTGAAATGAGAATTTCTCTGGCTAAGTTATTTTTGCAGCGTACCTGTGTACGTACTGAGAAAGTCTATGTTTTCAATGGAAAAATGTGAAATCTAAGCTGTGGTAGCACATTTGACACAAAAACCATTTTATATTACCATAATAAACCATGCAAAAGGAGTTAGCCCTTTCAAAAAACATGCTTTTGAGTACAAGGGTCTTTTAAAGTCTTTTAAAAGTTTTAAAAAAAGTTTTAAACTTTTAAAAGTTTTTAAAAGTTAAGGAATACTTTGACAAATCAATGTTATGAAGCTCCCCTTGCCGTGAATGCTGCTAGATTACACCTTATGTTTCAACTCTGTTGTGGTCGGCTCAGTTAAAGCAATAATTTGGCCAAAAATCCACATAATACTCACTTTTCTCCTTACTCCACATGTGGGCAGGAATGTTTGAAGTACTTTTTCCACAGGAGCTGTGGAGCTAACCTAGGTAACAAGCAATGGAAACTTTTATCTCACCAGTTGGCATTTTGCAAACTAGATTCCTGAATCAAACTTGCCTCAGACTACACCAAGTAATCTCGCTTGTGGTTTTTGACACTATATGACAGTGTTACTACTGTTACGACTGTTTTTAGCTATGCAACATTGTTCCTTTCATTTTGACCAAACATGTTTTGACTTTCATGCTTTCATGTATTTAAAAGTGGTAGCTGTCTGTAGAGCACTGAATGTTGTATGTATGGAATTCTCTCAGTGTGCGTATTGCATTAATGTTTGCAGGGGAAGGGTATTCTTGTCTGTGAACTGTTAGCAGGCTGTAAGATACTGATTGTGTGAGCATGTGTGTGTGTGTGTGGTAGATGGAGGAGCGCAGGGACTCGATGCTGGAGACGGCGTATCAGTGCTTTCAGAGTGCATCTGCGTGTGGCGGCGACTGTAATGAGGAAGAGTGGCTCATCCACTACATGCTGGGCAAGATCGCCGAGAAGCGCAAGCTACCTCCTAAAGACTACCTGCAGCTCTACAAACAGGTGACCTGCTGAAAACTACTGCTGTCACACTCTTAACAACCAGCTGTGGATGGTACACAGTTGAAATGGTTGATAGTTTGTTAAGGATTTTAAGTATTGAAGGAATAGTATGTAAAGGTTTCTTTAGCAGCTCTTTTTTTTGTGTGTATATATGTGGGTGTGGGTGTGTGTGTGTGTTATTGTATTTATTAATTTATTCATTAGGCCCCTCAACAATTATTGGCACCCCTGGCAAAGATGAGTAAAAGAGGTTATAAGAAATTCTCCTTTTGGTGAATTAGCTTAAACTCGCACTGAAAAGTGAGAGAAATCCAACCTTTAATTGAAGTCAGTTTATTCTGAGAAAAAAAAAATCCCACATTCCGCACAATTGTAGGCACCCCTGCATTTAATACTTTGTACAACCTCCCTTTGCCAATAAAACAGCACTTAGTCTTCACCAATAACATCTTAAAATGTTGGAGAATACAGAGCAGGGAATTTGAGACCATTCCTCCTTACAAAACCTATCCAGATCGTCCAGGGTCCTAGGTCCTTTACCTCACCCTGCAGGTTTTCTATTGGGTTTAGATCAGGGCACTGGGATGGCCATGGCAGAGGCTTGAGTTGTGTTCAGTAAACCATTTTATGTTCATCTGGACATGTTTTGGATCATTATCCTGTTGGAAGATCCAACGACGACCCATTTTTAGTTTCTTGGCAGAGGCTAACAGATTTTGATTCAAAATGTCCTGGTATGAGTCCATGGTGCCATGTACCCTGACTCGATTCTCTGGGCCTTTGGAGGAAAAACAGCCCCACAACATCAGATCCTCCACCATACTTAACAGTGAGCACTAGGTTCTTTTCAGTGTAGTCATCCTTTTTTTCAAACCAAACCTGCCTTGAGTGTTCGTTGCCAAAATCTCAGTTTTCGTTTTATTTGAGCATAGAACACGGTTCCAGTTTAGCAAACTCGGAGACATAGTGACCCCAAGAGGCAACTTTTTTCTGTAACTCTCCAGCAGTGATCCTTTTGCCTCTCCTACCATCCTCCTCACTGTGCGTGGGGGTAAAAAATAAACTTGAGTCCTTGTCCAGATAAGTTTGTCACAGTTCCAGTTGATTGGAACTTTTTAATTATTGCCCTCCCTGTAGATGTGGACATTTTCAGGCCAGTAGCTATTTTTTTATAGCCATTCCCTCAGTCAAACACACTTTTCCCTTATTTGAATTGTGTGTTCTCTTGTCTTTCCCATGTTAAAGAATGACTAAGGGTATTTGTGTGTCACATGGATTACTGCTTTAAAGTTCCTAAACACTTATCAACTTAAAAAAAAAAAGTAAAATCTAAAATAAAAAAATGCTGCAGTTACATTGTGTTCCTAAGAATCTCCAGGGAGGCCAGTAATTATGGCACATGAGGTTTTGTTAAACAAAAATTATTTCTTGAGGATTTTATTTTATCGCAGAATAAATGTACTTCAATTAAAGGTGGGATTTTTCTCATTTTTTTCAGCGTGAGTTTAAACTAATTCACCAAACGGAGAATTTCTTATAACCCTTTTTACTCCTCTTTACCAGGTGTGCTATAGATGTGGAGGGGACTGTGCGTATATAAGCTCTGTTCAGCTTGGCTGCCCTGTTTTGTGCCTCATTCAAAACGCAGTCCAGGCTGAAACACTACCTATAACTTTGGTGTGAATGTGCAAGGCTAAACTGCTGTAGGCTGAATAGGCAGATACATGTAAATGTGAGTCATTATAAATCAAGAAATTCAAAACAGTGTCTTCACTATGATTCTAAAGTGGTAAATGTAAAAATAGTACAAATAAACAAAACTCTTCTATGTGTAGTTATGTCTGGTACTGGTGTCACTTTGTGCTGGTGATTTGTTGTACTACCTATATGAGTTTCATGCTTTCTCTCTTTCCTAGTCTGCCCATTATCTCCATGAGGAAGCTGCCCGATACCCACGGAAAATCCACTACCACAACCCTCCTGATCTGGCCATGGAGGCTCTGGAGGTAAGAGGTGTAGTAAAATAAGATGTAGGAATAAAGTTATTTTAAAAAAGGCTTTTTTCACTTGTTGACATTCAGACTTCTGAAAAGCACCTGTTTACATGTGCCCCTCTTTTTTTGTTTTCTCTTTCAGTTGTTCTTTCGTTTGACTGCCACTATTCTGAAGCTGCTGGAAGAAGAGTGTGATAGTGAGGAATCAGAGCTGCAGAAGAACGTTCTGGATTACGAGCTTTTCTTCAACATGCTCGCAGAATCTGCAGTTGGGCCTTTTGCTCGCGGAGAGGAGAAGAACATGCCCAAAACCAGCGACAAGTAAGCCAACGTTTCAGTACTTTTAATTCTGAATATTTTGGTACCTAATAGGGATGTCAGTGATTAACCGTTAACTGGCAAATACATAAACCAGTGCATTTCCAACGATAAACAGACATTTTTATCGTTGAGTTTTTCATTTTTGAGGACTGTTTTGAGTTGTATGCGTGAGGGCGTAAGAGCGCAACAAGTTCTAGTAGCCCTAGTTAGTGATGCACATCTCTGGGTTTTCTGGAGTTGACTTTGACTATTAACTGCTCGACTCCACTTAATCAAATTAACCAATGGCCCTAGAATAGTTGATAAAGGGTTAGAGCAAAGATTAAACCATCCTAAATGCAGTTTACAGCACTGTCTCAACCAGGATATTTAGCCACAGGACACAGCAGTAAGGTAGACTACAACTGACTATGTGTTTTTAAATGTAATGTAGCTTTTGTTGGGTGTAGCCTATGAATGTGTTTGTCAGCAAACATTTAGCCTAGTTAGTCCTGTAACAGAAAAGCTTTAAAAGCGTCATGTTAGTGAGTGCATTTACATTCACTTAGTAATCTGATTATAATCGGATATCTGCACTTATCTGATTATTTAAATGGTCATATAAACAGCAAATCTGATTAAGAAATCCGATGAAGAGAGCTGGATTTTAGCTCAGTAGTCAGATTTCTCAGCGCATGCTACTCTTTCTCTTTGGGACTTCTCAGTCTGTGCATGCACGAAATCAGACCACGGTACCGGAAATAAGCAAGCAGCGTTTAATGCAGTACCTGCGAAATGACAACAAAACACTTTTTTTTTGTGGCTCGATGGTTTTAAAAAAAGCTATAGTGTTAAGTTATAATATTACATTACATTCACATCAGGTCGCCTTCTGTGAGTTTTCAGCCGTTTGCAAAGCAGAAATCTGAAGTTTCCCATTATCTGACTACTCAATTGCATGTAAACACGTTGATCGGATTACTGACAAAATCTGATTTTCTGCAGTTATCAGATTATTTAGTGCATGTAAACGCACTCAGCGATTTTAGGTTTGTCGGTTAACGGTTAAACACCAACTTATGACAGTCAGTTATCAGTCAATAGAATTTGCCAAATTTCACATTCCTAGTACGTATTATAGAGGCCAAACATTTGTAAGGAAGGGCTGTTTTTGTTTTTTCAAAAATATTTTATAGTTAAGTGAATTAGCGAGTTTAAATAAAGACGTTTGTCTGAAATATTTCATTGGTTGGCAGTGAAATACTCTTACTCTAATGTATTATAGAGGAGAAACACTCACTTTCTTTGTTCGTAAGTCCCTGGTACTGAGCAGTTTTTAATTCTTTAGACTCTTAATTTAACACCTGATTCTGTTCCTCAGAGTGATTCTTTAGGAGCATCTAAATGAGGGAATCAGATGGATATGATTAGAGGTGCAATTAAGCTCCACAGGAGAATCACCAGGATCAAAACAAATGAGGAATCAGCCACTATAGCTGCAGACAATCAAACAGTTTTGTTTTTTCGGTAACCATAGTATTGTCTGTTGTCTCTTTAAGGAATTCATGTTTATTATTACAGAGTTAGTGTTGCTTTTGTACTTTTGGCTTTGGTCATAGAAAGAGAGAAGGGAAACCAAAAGACTATACAGTGGTAAAAAAATTGTTTGTGTATATTTAGTAATCATTCATCTGCTGTTCCTCAGAGAAAAACACCCTTCTTTGAATGACGAAGACTCTCGCTCCTCTTCAATGGGCGTAGCAGCGGCGGTGACCTCCACACTGACCTCCACATCGACTTCCACAATGACCGCCGCTCACGCGGCGACATCATTGCCTGGCGACGGTGCGGCAGGTGTGACTTCCCCCCCGTGTGCGGTCACTCCGGTCGACCACGATTACGCCAAACGTAAAAAGCTGCAGCAGAGGCAGGGGCAGCCGCAGGACGGTACAGTACCTGGCCCAGAGTCTATTCTCTTTCACTCACTCACTCACTCACTGGGGGCGTGACCAGGGTGAATATGATGAGGATTATGATTGTGATAAAGGCTAAACGTGGCCATTGGGCTTGGGTTTATAACAGTGACGTCTCCCACCCCTGCTCCTACCATCCGCACTGGGCTGCTGAGGATCATGGGAACACGGGCGACAAAGCTAGCAGGGTCCATTTTACCGAATGTCAGGATTGTTTCCTTTTGATTTCATGAAATAGATGAAAGCAGTAGGTGTGTACTGATGAAAGAGAGGAAAGACTGAGTAGGCTGTGGCTCCGGGGAGCACAGTTAGGTAGTTCGAGGTAAATGTTTCCATCAGAGGAAAGCAGCACTGCTTCTTGTTCTTAACTTATAAAGTGACACACGATCATCACACCCTGTGGTGAATGTGTAAAGCAACCAGAATGAGTTTTTAAAGTAATCTCAAATAGACTTGATTGTAGGGATTTCGGTCAAATTAGCTGTTTGAATTTGCAAGTCATGTAAAAACTCGCCCTCATTACTGTTATGTTAATCCCAAACCACAGATCTATAGTAGATTATATATAGCTTGACTTTTGCACAGAGAAAAGCAGCCCCTCTAAAGTCCTCAAGCTAAACAAGTAATTGCTAATTGTCTGTTTTTACCTCGTCTAACGTTACTAGCCTAGCCACATCCTGTTTCAGCTCCTACCTGTTAGCTAGAACGCTGAACTGCAACCTTCAGTCGGCTACAGTAGTATTTTTGTGTTTCCATATTTATACTAACCTAAACAGATCAGAAACTTTGGCCAATACGATGCAGGCTCTACACCTCCTGCTACACTGGTGGAATATAGGCTTGATGCATCTCATGGCTCTTCAATATGAGAACATATGATGTTCTAATTTGCATGTATTTACTAGTTTTATTGATTAATTTACTTTCATGACTGTTCGAATATATTTGAACTTTCAAATACATGTACTGCGTGACTTGCTATAATCTATAAAAATGGATAAAAGTACATGGTATATGAAAACCTAAATTTTGTTTCATACTTTTGTTCATACAGTGACCTTTTATGTATGTGATATGGTGTTGAAAACCGCATAAGCAAGTTTATTTGAGATTACTTGACAATTCAGTGTGGCTAGAGGCAAGTTTGTGATGATTTTGGCATGCACAGTGCTAACTGGTGGGGTTTAAGCTCCCTTTATTGTTAGCTTCATAGCTCTGGAGAAACTAATTTTGCTGATTGGCTACATTTGGGGTATGTCAAAACTGTACATTTGATTTTTCGCTAAACTATTGCTGCTGTTTTCTGGCAGATAAAAAGACAAGCTTGGACCTTTCTGCAACCTGTTTGTGTTGTATGTATGTCTTCTGAACTCTGGCTATTGAAGAAAAATAGGACACAATCACTCTGTCAGTTATCATTAATTTCATGTAGTGTTTCCAAGTTTCCACTTTTAGCCTGAGACTTTTATTCATCGTAGATTTTTCCCCATATTTTTTGGGCTGGTTTGAATAGGGTATTGATGGAATCTTGCTGTGGCCTGTTTTGGTAAAATAGAGACTGTATCTGTGTCAGATGACAGGCTTGACCTAGTTACTGAAGTGGAGCTCAACTTGGTGAGCTTGTCTCTCTGGAATGCTTCAAAGGGTTCTAAGGCCTATAAACAAGTCTGGTAGCTTCTCAGTAACAGTTTCTTCGGATTTTATGAGTAGCCACTAATGACTGCTTAATGCTCCTAGCTTTACTGTAATCCTATTTATTGACAATCTGTATCATACTGCATCAGTATTTGCATATTGCTTCTAATGGAAAAGTCATGGCCTTTAAAATGCTTTTATCCCTCCTGAGAGAGCCGGATGTATTTAGAGTACATTTTAGTACACAGTCGAATGTCTAGCTGTCATTTTTGGATGTTTGTGTTATAAGAAACAATAATGAGTCACTTTATGCATTAGCAATATTGACACTAAGTGGTCAAGACAGGACTGTATTCACAAACAACAGTGCAAATTTATCGTGTGTGACTAACTTTGAGCAGCTAATCATATTTGCATGATGTTGCAATGGCCTGTTTTTTTATATAGGCCTTAATGGACACAGTGACGGGGCAAACTCAGTTACCCCGTTCTCAAGGCTTGGTTATAAACCTTACAAGTTTAAAGGTATTGTTGTTTTCCTGTACATTTGATTTACACTTTTTTTTTGTATGTAATTACATAATTACATATAGACATGCACACTTGTGAGGTGCTCAGAAACCAACCAAGCCCCTCCCACCCTACCACCATAATTTGTACAATTTTGACATGATAACTAAGCATTTTTGTGTACTCTGATGCTAGAATATGTGAAAATACCATCCAAGCTCCAACAAAATACCACATATAATCCAAAAAATGGTGAAAAGGTTAATTAGTTATTTTGTTTTCTATTTTATATTTCTATTTTTATTTGTACAATCTTTTTATAAGCAGCCAAATTGTGTATTATTCATGTTTTAGTGACCTCTTTACTTTGAATACAGGGCAGTAAACAATGTCATGCCGTGCTTATGTAATTTTTCGTCATATATAGTCATATATACTGGTTTTTGTTGCAAGGGCTCAATTCATGTCAAAAATGATTTTGCTGTCCAGGACATTTGATGTCAGTCTGCGTAAATTGGCAGAAGACTGGCAGCACTCTCCTTTTAAGACCCATCTTAAACAATCATTAAAAATAGGGGTCATTCCATTCTGACTGCCCATCACTTGTGTTCTATCTGCTGAAAGGCCTGTTCTGGCTCATAGGTCTCCATATGGTGTGTTGTGCTTGTGGCTCTTGTGGTTATATTTGTCTGCGGTCCATTAGCAGGATAGCGGTTTCGACAGTCCATAAGAATCAATTTGTTCTATGAACAAAGGCATTAATTTCAGACAAAAAAGTTGTCCCTCATTGTCTTGCTGCAATGCAAACAGTGATAATTACACAAACTGTTCAAAAGCCTTTAAAGAAAGAAATCTGAATATGCAAAATTTCAATCAACTTTACTCATCACTTTCATCAGCTATATTTACCATTAGTTAATGTTAATGGTGGCTAATTTCACCTTTCAGTTTGTTCGGCAATAAAAAAGGTAAAAAATGAAATAGATGGTTGGCTTCTGTGGGACCCCACCCTTTCACCTCTTATTTATTTTATTTCCAGTCAAAATGGCCATTGGATGCAAGGCAATAAAACGCCAAGAAAATAGTAGAAAACACATATTTAACAGAAATTTGCACAGACAAACTAAATATATCGGATTTTTCAGTATTTAGTGTGTTCACTTTTTGCCTTTTCACAGTTTTCATTTTTATTCAGACGCTTGCTTTTAGTTTTTCAAAGAAATCTGCAGATTTCACACCTCCAAAGTTCAGTCTTAGAAGTTTCATGCATTTTCTGCTTCAAAGTAATCCCATTAAAAAAATTAGACTGATCCGTCAATAAGACCTCCACATCTCAGATGTTCAGATCTCTGTTTATCCAATTCCCACTGAATTGAATGAGTTACGAATGAGAAATGATTGAATAAAATGTGAGAAGTGGAGTTCATGGCCTGTACACTTAGGGGTCCTGGGAAGATTAATAAGTGTTGTGTAATTGATATGTGCCAAGCTGCTGATCTAAAACCAGCTGTTGTCTGTGAATATGACTTGAGCGTAGACTGGGGTTAAAGTGTGGGGCCTATAACTGTGTCGCTCGTGTTCCTATTCCTGTGGCCTACTCAGGCTCCCTTTCCCCCTGCTGCCTACCTGCCTGCTCCCTCTTTGCCTGCCTCTGGCCTGCTTTGCACCTGCTGCTTCTTAACGTGTGCATGATGAGATCAACACTCTGATTTGGTTTAAAAGTTATCCTAAAACATCCCACAATGTACTCTGCTCCACTGTGTGTGCCAAATGACATTTGAATGATGTGTCCTTCATGACTTGCTTGCACTGGGGTGAACAAAAATGATGGTATATGTCTGTATGTTGGGGTTCAGTGGTCCACTAGACCACAGTGGGTTGTGGTGGTCTGTAGGTTTGTATGTTGTGTTTTATATATTTTTATAAAATGAGCAGATTGGCTTCAGTGACGTGATGCAGATGCTGCTAAAATCAGGTAAAACAGAAAGTGAATTCATTGTGAGTTGCAAATGTTTTCTAAAGCCATGGTCTCCTCCGCAGCTAACCTCTCTCACGACCACGATTACTGCGGGTCCGCGTCTGCTTTGCGAAGGCGACCTGTGTATGGTACAGAATACACTCACCTCCCTCCAGCACGAAAGGACTAACCTCTGCAGGACAGTGGTGAAGAACCTTTGTTCAGGCTTTTGTTCCAACCAAGGATGGACTAAGTAGCCAATCTCTGAATCCAGAATCACCCATTCTCACTATTTAGTGTACAATATTGTGTATGTGTTAATGACTTTTTCTTCCTGTGAGATCTGCAACCCTTTTAGTTTAAACTTTAATCAGGCACACCTGATCCAGCGTACTAAAGGTACTTTTTCACATTTGATCCCTGCTTAGCACTTATTGGGTGATTTTCTACGCATCTCAAAAAGTTTTTTTTATATCAATTGAATTGAATCAATTGAAAATCAAATTAGAAAAGATGTTCCAGGAGACAGATAAAGCATATAGTTTTATTATAAGACATAATCTGCCTTTGCATGCTTGAGTCACACAACTGTATTCGTCCGCTGTGCCGCGAGTACTTCCTGGGGCTACATATGTTCGTTCCTTTGTTTGCTACTTGCTAAGTGATCGATATTCATACAAATGTTATATGTCAAAAACTATGAAGGCTAAGTCATTTCATAATGTTACTTAAAATCAAACCTACCTCCAAAGATCGTAATTGTAACAGTACATCCAATGTTGCTAATTACTTAGCGAGCTAACTAGCTACTGTAACCAAAACAAAGCCAGCTGCAGGCGTATTTTGAGGATGCTGTTGTCGACAAATCAGCTGGCGCACATAAAACCATAAATCCATCTCATTACACTTTTTGCAAATGTTGCTAAGCAGTCAGTTCTAGAGGAAAAAATGAAAAATTTTAATATGGCCTTTATTAAGCTAGAAAACATCCAAAACATATCTAACAGGGATGAGATGTAATTCCTTCTTTAAGCAATAGTTTGGATGAAAATCAGATGCACACTGTTTTTCCTCTTCACTCTAAATGTCTACCAGGACAAAGTTTGCTTGTACAACAGAGGTGTAACAATGCATATTTTGAGTTTCGATATGATTTTCGATTCTAAAGTCAAGATTTGATTTGATGTTAGATATTTCATGGAGTAGTGGCATCGAAATTCGTCCTCTGGTATGAGTTTTGTCCTAAGTGTTAAACTGGTAACATTTAACACATAAGCACACAAATAAGTGCATTTATACACTGTTATACCGCGATATAGGGCTAGCGCTCCCTCTCATGTATTATTGCGATTCTGCCACTGATTATACCAGTTATTGATTTTTATTTTAAGATTTTGAGATAAATATGATACAGAAACAAATCAACAACAAAGTTCCTGTAATACCGTGAACAAAAATAGCTCAGATTCAGCACTGCTGCATATACACTACCAAACGAAATATCACACTGCGAAACCTTCAGGATGCCCACACTGGGAAAGCCAGGTTTGCTCATCAAGTTAAAATGTAAGAAAACTATGAACTTATCAGCTAATTTTTTGAGAGAAGTTCATTTTATGTGTGTGTAGCCCATTTTAAAGCTGTATCAGAAGCTCACAGCAGATTAAAAACATGATACTATTGAGTGAAATATAAAAATTAGAGAAAGGGTCATACAGCTCACCCCTTGTGAATTAGTTTAATCTGTAATGGCACATCAGCATGATGTGTCACAACAAGTCAAAAACAGAAACAGGGCAAAGATTGTTACTTGTACTAAAATTGTGCCAGTTACCTTTGCCTTTGCAGGTGAATGAGGCGAAGATGTACTTAGAAATTCATTTGGACTGGCATGATCAGGAGATATTGGCCCTCATGTAATGCCTCTCGCCCAGTCTCATTACAAGGTCAGAACTAAATATCAAAGCTTGGATACAGGAAAGCTAATCAGCCAATTTGCCCATGTTAGGCTTGCACTTTAATACTTGAATACAATGAACAGATTAAATTAAATTGTTAATTGCTATTATTTATATGGCAGTTTATCTTGTCATGATTGAGACAGGCCGTTATGGCTCCAGTGTTGCTCTACAGAAGCAGACTTCAGACGCTGAGCATGTCTTGGCTGACTGTCTACATTTGAGGTAAGGGGAAAACTACTCAAATAGCCAAAGTGTTTCTTCAAAAATTGGCATCTGAATACCAACGTCATGTGAGTTTAAGATTAAGATTAAGGCTGGAGCAAACGTTTTCAGGGTGGCTGATCTCCAGAAGAAGGCATTCTTAACCCTGGATGAAATAAAAGCCCCGTCCCAAGAACAGTGTTCTTCACCACTGCTCCACTCCGTCCTGATCAGAGCGCTTTAAACCGCATATTTCTCATTCAGCTTTCAGCAGCTGCATCCTACAGCTGTTGTTGCTGTGTGAAAGCACAGTTCCTTCTTCACTTCGCACTGTGAAATCAAACTTCTCCAAACTGCTCCTGGCACTTTCACTATATAGTTTCATATACAAGTCCAGCACTGCAACCTCTTGCCAGCACACCTTTCCATGGGGCAAATGTTTCCAGCTTTCACCACTCAGTCAAATAAATCCCTGTGCCAACATCTCAGTAATTAGATTTTCTACGAATTGCTTCTTGTGCTCCTATTAAAGAAAGTAGACTGTCCAGTGAAGACGCCACCCTGGTGCTATTGGACTCTAGCTGAGCTCCATTGGGGGTTTTGCTGAGGCTGTCCTTTCATCTTCTTTTTTTTTTTTTCCCCCACCCCCATGCTGAGTTGACTTGGTGCGTTGGCGTTTTGGACGGGGGCGATTTTTGGCATTGGATTGTTGCTGAGGGCTGCAGAGTTGATGGCACTTTGCTAATGTCAGATGCCCTCTTCCAAGCCACACTACTGACTCTCTCAGCATGCGATAGGGCTTTAGTGTTTATTTTTTGGGCAGCACAAGAACAAAAACAAAAAAAGAAAGAAATCACTTTCTTGTCTTTTTGCAATGGGTGCATTTGGAGAAGGTGCAGTAGTTTTTAACGCCCTCCTAAAGAAGGCTAGTAATCATTCCCCTTTTCCTGAATAGCACCCAGATTAGAGTCCCCATCCCCTTCCTCTCTGCCCACATAGCTTATCTGAAATAAGTAGCCCTCACTTTACATATCCTGAGTGAAATTTGTAGAGATACTGAGTGGTGCACTTGTCTTGTTTCAAAAAGAAATTCAGCACTGTCACTTTTCAATGACTCTTTCCATCCCTGAGCCTTTTGGTGTTTGTGTTGATCCATGACTCATATGGATGGGTCTCATAGGCCTGGTTTTCTGGACGCTGATTAAAAGAATAGTCCAGCATGTTTCAACCAAATCCCTATCTGCTGCATCTGTAGCGTACACTCGATTACCATGGACAGTATATTTCAACGTTTTCCCTTGAACTTAGGAAAAAAAAAAGAGAAAAACTGTTGACTTGAAGCACGTTTATAATAGAGATCGTTGGGCAGTTGCTGAGTTACACCAGGAAACATTTATGTGAAACACATATTTCTTTACAACACTTTGAAGAGTCCTTCAGTCAAAGGTCATTTCCCACAGGGAGGAATTTGTGTTAATTCATTATCTGAGTGGTGGTGTGGGTGGACTTTTCTCAGGCTACTGCCTGATCACTCATGAATTACCGGAACTGCTTTCATATAGTGTTCGAAAGTTCGAAACTTCTTAAGAGCAGCTTAGGGGCCCTTAGGGCCTTCTAGGCTTTGAGAGAAGGTCTAATGATATCAGTTAAATAAATTAAAAAAGTCTGTATTTTGTAGTTGATTATTGTTTACTATAATCATCATGCTTGTTGCACTTAAACTCTGCAAGTGTTGTAGCACTAGTTTTAATTCATAATCCAGTCAGTGTGGTATCTAGGTAGATCGAGCCAAGTTAGCTCTCCCATTGGTTAGGACATCCTGATAAACCATATCAACATATTTATGAATTTACAGTGGAATTAACTCATCATGTTTTGGTTTCCAAGGGGTGGGAACAGTTTCGACCTTCTCAAAGTCCTAGATACATCACTGACTTTGAATAGGAGCTGTAGCCTAAGTTTCCATCAGTTGTTAGAAATGGAAAACTGCAGTAGATCTGTCCCAGCTCTTTACTGAAACAGTCACTGTAAAACTGCTACAGTGTATAAAACGTGCTATCACAAGCTTCAGGTGTCAACATTTAATCTTGAACTGCCAAAAAATGTTAATGTGAAAAGCTGTTAGTTTAGCGCTAACATACTACTAGAATCCCGTAGAGGGGCTAGCAGACGTTTGCATTAATGTGGAGGTGTTTTTTCCCCTCTGTTTTTAACTGAGTTTTGACGTTTATGGCCCGACTTTAAGGCCTAACTCTAAGGGTGTGTTTGGACTTGGCAGGTTTGGTTCAGTTAAAACAAACCCTGGTGTGATTGCTCTGTTAGTGCAGCTTGTTGGATCAAGTGAGAACTCTGCCATCCAAACTCTAGTGCACACCACATCAGCGACCCGAAACCTCCTGAGCAGATTAAAAATTATATTTTATGTTTTGTAAAAGCAGTAAGCCACTCAGAGCTGATTTCATCCCACTATGCGTCATGCAGAGCCACAGTAACGCAGGAAGTCTTGTGGCTTATTGCTCTGATGTCACAAGACAGATGAAACAAGACATTAATAAAACCAACAAACCCAGATAGAACAATGAACAGCATAATTCAGACGTTTTGTCGGACATTATTATAGTTCTTGTACGTAATAAAAATATGCCCAATATCAACCCATATGACTTTTGTTAACTACCTTTGGTACAGTGATAAATATGGTTGAATGCTAAGCAAACCAGAACTAGAATGCAACATGTATCACTTTCTGCTTTGGTGCAGACCAAGGGAACCAAACTACAAATATAAACGCACCCTAGTAGTCACAACTGCTCTCATTATGAAATCACAAATTGAATGATCATCCACAGAATTTAACAGCTGTCTACTGGCTTCTACAATAAGTTTGAAGTCAACACATTTTCTGTTCTTTTCTAAGGTGCAGGGAAAGATCAAAATTTGATATCCATGGTAATCAACTGTACGTTACACATGCGACAGTTAGAGATTAGATTGAAGGATGCTGGACTATTCCTCTAAAGTCTAGCTTTGGACTATATTATGTAGTCAATTGGGGTCTCTATTAGAGAGCTCTGAAATTTAATTGTGTCCTGGAAACCAGCCTGCTGGCTTCTAATGGTCAATCTTGGGATTTTGGTGTTAAATTGCGGGTTCTGCGATTTGGGCCACCCTGGTTTAAAGCAATGAAATAAACAATGGTGTCTTTGATTATTATTTGTCGTCCATGTGAATGTGCCCAGTGACTTTGTCCATCAGTAAACATTACGGTGTGTTTGTGTACGTGTGTCTGTGTGTACGTGTGTGGTCCCCCTCATCAGAGCAAAGTCAGGACAGCGTGGCGGTCTTGTCGGACTCCAACTCCCTGCAGGACGTGTTTTTGGACCCCACCAGCTCACAGGACAGCAGCCACAAGCTGGATTCTGGGAAATGCCGTTCCTTTTCTGAGGACACCAACACACTATTAAAAGACAAGCCATCGACGACAGAGGAGCCAGGTATTGTCATTGTATTGTTGCATATGTGAAATATTTAAAATAAATGAAGCAGAGGAAACAGATGTGTTGGCTGACATGTCTCAGTAGATTAGAGAATTCTTATTAAGGATGTCCTGATTGAGTTTGTTTGCCCTGAACACTATCCAAGATATTTAATATTAAGTATGTGCCAATACCAAGTCTTAATGCATTTGTATGTGTTCTAGAAGATAATAAAGTCTGTTAAAGTCTAATCTAATCTATATTATGTAAGATACCATCGCTGTTGGGACAGAACCTTGTTTTTCCAAAATAGTAACTTCACAGGAGAATGAAAACTTCATGAAAAGTTTGAAAACTTCTCATCCTTATAATAAGTTAATGTAACATTTTTTTTTTTCTAATTCGTTTTAGACCATTTCTAGTCATCATAAAATATTCACGCAATGTAACACTGTGTGTACAAGTGGCTAATGCAAAAAAGTTACAAGGACACAAAGTGTCATAGATGTTAAGCACCAAATGCTACTTGAGTGCAGAGTTGCCAGGTCTAGCAAAAGTTTCCAAACCAACCTTTGTTTAAATCTTGCCCACCAGAAGCCCAAAATGTGAATGTCGAATTGCAAAAAAGCTGGTTTTGATTGCATTCAGCATATTTAAAAATGTTTATAATGGTATACTTGGCTGCCAAAATCACATCAACTGGTATATTTACACTACATTTAGCTGCTTTTTGAAATGACAATTTTATGGTGTCTTTAATACCATGCTTCTGTATTTCACATCTAATAATAGTGACTCTTTTCAAGCTGTGATTTTTTGTAGTCCACACACTTACATTTTACATCCAGTTAGTTTAACCCTGTTTTAATGAAAGATGGCATTCAAAACACTGGCATGTTGGGCTTTAAAACAGTTGTACGCTGCAGGCATTTAAACCACATTTTAACTTCTGAATTGTGTCTTACTGCTGCAAGTTAAAGATAATATCTGTTTTTTATCCAGCGCCTTTACGACATTGGTGTAAACAAAATGCAGCTGGGTAAATTAGCCTTAACAGAGAATCCTAAAGTCCTTGGGGTTTAATATTAGGGGTGCCGTGAATATTTTTAAGCCATAAAATGTAGACACATTGGGCCTTTCTGATTGGTAAGAATTCAAACCTTTTCCAACTATAAATAGTTGCGGTAACAATCTTTACTACCACGAATTAAAGTTTAGCTTGACTCTTTTTTCCCCACTCAATTAAAAATAAACATGCCAAAATTCTAATTACTGTTTTAGCTTTTATTTCTGATTTTTCTTGATCTCAGAAATTCAGTTTACACCTGTGAAAATAAAATTTTATCTAGTAAATATTTAATTCTTGAAATCATGAATTCAGTGTGCACGTGTGAAACTGGAATTTTCATTAGTAAATATAAAATTTTGATTAGTAAAAATTCAGCAATATGGCTTCTGTTGTTTTGCGGTATCATTTAAAAATATTGCTTATCACACTTACAGAACTTTGAATGATCGTGATTATGTGATAGTGGCTACAATAAAGCAATAAAGTCATAGTAGCTTGTTAATCGAATAATAGTGAATGAATTAATGAATTATAGAAATAACCGTTAGTTGCAGCCCTACTAAATATTGCCAGAACCAATGAATTTAAATAGATCTTTCTTCTTCCCTGGTATCCCAGGCGCCTCAGAGGAAAAGCAGATGGACATCAACTCCACCACACTCTCCCAGGAGTCCTCAGCCACCCAGGAGTCCTCAGACACCACTCTGTCCATCATGTCTCCTGAGGTCGCCATGCCAAAAACCATGACTACTGATACCCACAGCCAGCCTCCACACACTCCCCTCCATACCACCCCACCCAAATCTGGTCCTGCTTCTCTGGCAGGGCCTCCTAGTGAGGGAAAGCGTCGGCCTGAGCCCCCCACCCCGCTGGAGCTGCTGGAGGTGCCGCGGTGCCTGCCTGCGGGGAGAGTGGAGCAGAAGAAGGTGCTGGTGGACATGTGCGTGAGAGCGCTCTTCGTGTGCCTCAGCCGTTTCCCTCAGCACTACAAGAGCCTGTATCGGCTCGCCCACCTCTACGCCTACAGCAAGACCCACAAGGTGAGACGCACACACAAGCGAAGGATTAGAAGAGCCTGTGCTGTCTGGCCTACGCATGGCCAAACATATACATGATAGCATTCAGAAACTGCACTGAAGTACTGTGCAAAAGTCAGAGACCACCCGTTATTGACTTAATTTCCTGTCAAAACAACCCTCAAGTTCAAATTATTCTTTCAAAAGAAGTTTCTATAAAAAAAGTAATCCCCTTGCATAAGAAAGTCGAAGGTTGAGTTCAAAATGGGACCTGCTAGACCACCAAAACCTTCAGATTAACAGTGCTTTAAGGGGAATTCCACAGGTTTTTCAAAATGTCTGTAAAATTCAACCTCTGAAATGTAAACCAAGTCAAACCGAGTGGTTTGGTTTGAAGTGGTTCATTGTAGAGAAACTTATTGACTTCTTTACAGTGTTGGTGATAGAAACCAGATGTCACCAAGACTATAACACAAATATAGCCGCTTTATTTACAATTCAAAACCCCCTGAACCTACACGTGTCTTCTGTTTTATATATCATTTTAATCATGGTAAAGCAGCGGTAGATCTAAAAAATAAATAAATAAAAAATTAAATACATTGGGCCTCATTCACCAAGCGTTCTTAAGAAGAAATTTCTTCTTATAACCCACTTATGCAGTTTTGACGAAGATTCTGACATTCACCAGTGTTTTCTTATTTGGGGTTTGTTCTCAGGTAAGAAAAGAATCTACACATTGAAGAGCACAAAGGTGTGAACAATTCTGCAGTTTAAGAACACGTCATGAAACTGACGTAGACTTTTTCTTGGGGCCTATCTCAAGAACACATTTAAGAAAAAACGTAGGAAGATATTGGAAAATGAGGCCCTTTGTTCTTTGGGATCTGTTTTGCTTTCCCATTATTGAATTTAATTATGTATTTTAGCCCAAATTCTTATAACAAAACTGTTACATAACCATTCATGTAATAACTTTCTGTGATGTATCTTTTGGAAGCAATAAAGTGCATTCCTATCACCACAACTTAAAAAAAAAGTTTCTCCAGAGGAATTTTTTTAAATTTATCAATACTTTAACAGTACTTAAGTTTTTGAAAGAGAGAGGAGAAAATCAAGCTTCTCTTTTACTTCATATGTTTCTATCCATCCTTCCACTGTGAGAGGACAGCTCAGCACTATGGCTCTGAAAGGATGTGTAGCTGTGAAGAAACCGTTACTGAGAAAAATAAATAGATTTAAAAAAAGAAAAGTGAAGAAGTAAAACAAAGAAGCTCCTGGTTTTCTTTTAGAGCAATGGACTGACTTCCCCAGAGTCCAGACCTCAATGTCAGTGAATATTGGGATTACTTGGATTGTGAGAAGCAGTTCTTTTTCTAACTTGCCCTCATCCACTTTGGCTTGTCGTTCCGATGCGCGTCACACCTACATTACGCATGTGGCCACCTAGTGCAGAAGGGGAGGAGCCGACAGTGAGGAGCGGATTATTCAAATCGAATGCACTTGCCCTCAGCAGGTTATCCTCAGTGAGCTAATCAGGTAGCCATGCGAACTGTGCAACACGAAACGTTTAGAAGTTTAACGTACGTAATGTGTGAATAATTGTCTTGTCTGGCTATAAACGTGGAGCAGAGTCATAGTGAAGTGCCTTGCTTTTTTTTTTTGTTCCTGTTAGCCACGTAGCCTGTTAACATGCCAACGAGCCAGCTTGCAGAGGAAAGTGATGAAGTTCTGAGCAGTCATGTATAACACATGGAGTAGTTTGTAACTTAAAGCCCAGTAAATTGAATGTTTTGGATGTGTTTTTAGGGGGGTTTGAAAAGGGAAATGCGTCAAGTCACAATGATTTCTGCTGCTGAAGTCGACACTGATGTTCGCTCAATCCCTTGCCCCTCCACAGGCTCATCTAACACCCTTCACTTGAGCTGATAATGTAATGGAACTGCCTATAAGATGGCGCTGGGGATTTCCCTGAGGCCATGTATACGAGGGCTTGTTAAAACCGGTATTGAAACAGGGGGCAAGTCTCTTGGAAAAAAATGGAAGCTGTAATAAAGGCAAAGAGTGGACACACCAAATACTTAGTGTGATATATTATTCAGTATTAAGTGGACATGCTAAATACTGAAAAATGTATTATGTTAAGGCTTCTGTGTAATTAATGTATGTATTCCCTTATGCCTAAAAATGAATAACTTTGACTGGAAGTTAAATAAGTGAAGGGTGGTCTCTGTTTTTTTTTGCATAGTGCTGTATATGTTTACAGCTAATGACTTCAACAAACAGCTAACATCACATGTTCATTTACATTCGTCCTGTTGATATTTTCTTACATGATTCTGAGAGATGGTGTAGTTTTTGTGCGTGTGTGTGCGCGTGTGTGCGCGTGTTAGTGCAGGTAAGCCGGCTGGCATGGGCACACCTTGCGTGGGTGGGTAACATGAGGTGGATAGCGTGAGTGGGCGATGAAAGCTGTGCCCTTCCGCACTGAATGCCATCCTGGGCACCGCAGGCAGCACTGTGCCAGCCTCTCACGGCCTGAGCGGAGGTCATGCTGGCTTTATTCAGCCTGACAGGAAGCTGTAGTTGATAACAGCAGGGGAACCTGACACAGGCTGTGATTGTTCTATGAGAGCGCCTGAAGCATGGGACGGAGCCGGGGCTTCCCCGTGCTTTCATTTTGCATGTGCGGTTAGCTGGTGGAACACACGTTTCTGCTGCGAGAAGGGCTGCGACCATGACTCGCCCATTTTGTCTCTTGCCTTGACTTTTCTTGACCAAAATCCCCATCCACCAGGAAAAAAGACAGTACATAAGAACATAGTATCCAGAAGCTTTGGACTATGGAACCAAAAGCTAGATTTTATCTCAAGTGTAAGCTGTTATTTGGCTATATGCAGTCGTATGCAAAAGTTGAAGCACCTGTGATCAAACTACATGTTTACTGGTCCGTTCGTGGTGAAATTGTCACACATTATAAAGGTCAGCTGACGTTTTGAAATGTGGGGAGGGGGCTGAGTTCGCGTTTGATTCCCTTCAGTGCCACAGCCGTCTGTGGGCGTTTGTCTGAGAGAGCATAATTGACTTCACTCTCTCTGAGTAGGGTGGTCCTCCATCTCCCTTCAACCACTCAGCGTGATGCTGGCCACAGCAGGCCTCTGTTAGCTGACTTAACAAAATTGACCTAGCTAGTAGGTGGCTACAACTAAATTGAAGGGAAATCATTAGAGGAAAAATCAAAAGATTAAATTAAAAAACATAAAAGCAAGAATGTATTATTAAGAACGGTATCACGCTTTTAAAGCATGGTTGACTATAGTTTACTCACTCAAGTGTTTAAGTGACACATTGTATTTAAACTTGATCAATAGGGCACCTTATAGAACATTCAAATACATCAGTACCTAAACTTGTATGGTGACTAGTTACATGGTCTTAACTTATTTTACAGAAATACACTATGGACAAAAGTATTAGGACACAGCTCCTAATTATTGAGTTCAGGTGTTTCAGGATAGTACTATGAGGTTGTTTTTCAGGAGTTGGGCTCGGCCCCTTAGTTCCAGTGAAGAGAACTCTTAATGCTTCAGCAGACCAAGAGATTTTGGATGACTTCATGCTCCCAACTTTGTGGGAACAGTTTGGGGAAGAACCTTTTCTGTTCCAGCATGACTGAGCCCCAGTGCACAAAGCAAGATCCATAAAGGCCTGGCTGGGGGAGTTTGGTGTGGAAGGACTTCACTGGCCCACACAGAGCCCTGACCTCAACCCCGTCATATGCCTTTGGGATGAAATGGAACAGAGATTGTTAGCCAGGCCCTCTCGTCCAACATCAGTGTCTGACCGCACAAATGCTCTTCTGGATGAATGGGCAAAAATTCCCACAGACTCTCCAACATCTTGTAGAAAGCACCAGAAGAGTGGAAGCTGTTATAGATGCAAAGGGGGACCAACTCCATATTAATGCCTATGGATTTAGAATGAGATGTCATAAAAGCTCCCATAGGTGTAATGTCTAGGTGTCCCAATACTATTGTCCATATAGTATATATACAGTTTTCACGGTAATTTATGAAGCAAATACGTAATTACATAAATAGACGATGTAAATTGTTGCTGTTGTAAGAAACCCTCATATCTGACTTTAAACAGGTCTTAAATTTATTTAGGTATTTATTGATTCATTGATTATTTTGAATTTTGAAATTTCCAGAAACGTAAAGAGCAGCTGAAGTTTTAAATAGTCTAAAAGATAAAAAAAAAGAAAAATATGCCATGCAATGAAAAAAGAATAGAGTTACAAGGTTTTGATATGAAGGCAACAGTTAGAGTTGTGTATATAACAGTTAGAGTTAGTGAATATAATTGGTTGACAAACATAATCTTAGTCAATAATCGACTAGTCAACAGCCGCCCTACTCTGCCCCTTGTGTGGTATTTCAGCGCGGAGGTTATAAGCTAGTGTAATGTGGCCTTTCCTCTTAGCAGTTAGAGTTTTTCAGTGTAGCGACCCCGCATTAGCATCTGTATAACAATGCCATTTCCCTATGTGGAAAGAGAAAGCTCTATTGTCCTTTAAAAGAGAAATCTGCCTCTGTGATTATTAGAGTATCCATCGCTGCTGTGCACGCGAGGCAAGCAGACAGGGATAATTGCAGAAAAGCCTGTAATCAGCCGCGTGGCTGTGTGAATACATCCAGCGCAGTCAGAGCAGTAAAAACTCAACTCTGATTCTGTGAGGCCTAGCCTTGATGGTGTGTGTGTGTGTGTGTGTGTGTGTGTGTGTGTGTGTGTGTGTGTGTGTGTGTGTGTGCGTGCGTGCGTGCTCAGGGAATATTGACATGTCGTTTCTTTAACGTGAGTAACGCTGCCTGAAGCTGTGGCATTTTCCATCAGCACATTGCTTCTTCCTGGTAACTGTGTTAAAAGCTTGTTTGTCAGTTTTCTTTAGTGAAGCAAAAGCTGTATAAACCAAAATACTTACACAATTCGTGTACATTATATTCAGATAAGCTAAGTTTAAATCTGACTTTCTGACAGGGCAGCTTATAGAGGGGAATCCCCTTTGTAGTAATTAACTTTTAGTTCCTAGTCATAGAGAGCACATAGTTCTTAAATTACTCTCCTCCTGGAAATATTTAGCATGTGTGGTCCCCCCCCAGTTATTTGAAGAACAGCTTATTATGGCCTGCAAATACACGCCAGGCTAAAAGGATGGAAGTGAGCAGTGACATATTTTGCAGAAAAGCAGAGTTGGTCTTCGGTCTGTATTTCTGTGGAGGGCTTGAAGGGTCAGGAAATAAGTGGTGTTATTAGGCCTATGGTGGGTGATGGTTGACCAAGTTACCACATTAGTCTCAGTAGTGCAAAAATGAAGTCGCACACTTTGTTTTTTAAAATTTCCAGTCCAAAAGGCCATTAAGTACAAGTTACTCATTGTTCAGTGTCAGGAAACTTACATTATAACTTTATTACAGCTTCCATTCTTTTCAGGAGACTCACTTTCAGTTTTTTAGAGAAATCTGCAGGGATATTTTTCTCCAAAGTTCAGTCGCAGAAGTTTTCACAATCCGAGTAATCCAAACACATTCAGTAATGATGGTCATTTGGTCTGGACCAGCAGCTTCTTTGTCTTCCTTTTTCTCTATTTTCTTTTCTCAGTAAGAGCTTCTTGACAGCTACACATCCTTTCAGACCCACAGCGCTGAGTCGTCTTCTCACAGTGGAAGGATGGACAGAAACACCTGTGGATTTTTTTCAGATCTGAAGCAGTTTGATTTTCTCCTCTCTCTCATAGATGAAAGCTTTCAGTGCTGTTTATTTGATGCTGGCAATGGTGGTGGTCCACCATAGTTTGTATTGCTGTTAGGAGTCCTGTTTTCTCTGGATCTTTTGATAATTTGTTGAGCTCCAGTTTTGGAAACTCCTGTTTTTCCCACTTATTTTACTTTGACTTCTTCCTTATGCATGTGGATTATCTCATATCTATTCTCCTCAGAAACAGCTCCTGAAAAATGGCCATTCTGACTGGAAATTAAACAAACGATAGGTGGTCTCTGACTTTGACACAGCACTTGCTTCTGATTCCCATGATCCCCCTCTCTTCTTTTCAGCACTTCAGTTCATCCTCTCCTCCTCTGTACCCTTTCCACTGCCTTCTTTTTCATCGTAGCACTTGTGTTCCAATCTCTGTGGCAGATTATTAAGAGAAATTAATTCAGCCCTTAAATTTGCTCAACCTAGCATGGCTAGTGAGATTTTGTAAAAACTGCCGTGAAAGCGTTTATCTGGTGTAATCGCGTGGAGCTGTGTTTACAGCCCGATCGCACGAGAGAGCAAATTCATGACATCTCTGATGAACAGCAACAGGCACTTTTTATTCAGATGGTGTGAACCAAAGGGAGCGAGGGCTCTGTGTGTGGGGGGGGGAGGTATTTGTCGTGCCACAGTGGTGCGTGTGAGTGTGAGTGATGAGTGAAGTGATTTTATTTCTCCTCACTGATGTGGAGTAATTGTATAGGAAAGTAACAGTAGCTGTTATTAGAAAACCTCACGACTGAATATTCATCTCTCAGGCTTTCCATCAGGACCTGTAACAGTGTGTGTGTGCGCGTGTTTGTGTTTGTATTTGATGAGGAAAAATGTACAGTAACGCACACATAGTAATGCTGACACACACACACACACACACGCACACACACACACAAACACACACACACACACATGCCTAAACATACATACATAAACACACATACACACTGACTCAATACATGTTGTCTCTCTACAGAACCTGCAATGGGCAAGGGATGTGTTGCTAGGGAGCAGTGTCCCATGGCAACAGCTGAAGCACATGCCAGCGCAAGGACTTTTCTGCGAGAGGAACAAGACCAATTTGTTCAATGTAAGTCTGACATATGCACATATACACACCTTAAAACTAATCAACCACACCTCAGTTTTGGAGTCATAGTCCATGCAAGACAAAAGCATGGAAAACAGTTGAGATTCTCTGGCTATAGATTTGTTTTTTGTAGCAGCTGCTGTGAGTTTGGTCAAGAACTTCACTGAAAAATTTCACTCAGCCTGTTAAGAAATTGTGCTAAGAATCAGTTTTTTGTCAAAATAGGTCAATTATTCACGTCCGGCCACAATACAATGTCAATGTACAATGGCTTACACATTCTACATAATGTTACAGTTTAAGATGCTACGCCACTGGGCTGGCTTCTCTTGTAGCTAATCAAAACTACAAACATAGTTTGCTTGATTGCAGGATGAAAAACAGTTTATCTACCCCAGCAGTATGATCTTTCACACTGATACAAAATAAAAATGATTTAAAATCGATATGCAGTTGTATGCAAAAGCCCATGATCAGATTGTGTTTTTTTTTTTTATTTTCCAAGTACAGATAAGTTGAGTTGGTCAGAATAAAGACCGGAGTATTTTGACACCATTTTTATTTCTGTAAACTGAGCAAGAGGTGTTAATTGTACACCATTTATGTATGATTTTATATCCTAATCATTTATATTCATGTGCATTATTATTCTGCATGTCCGTTCCAAAGTTGGTGTCAGTCAGGCTATGTATGTTTGAGTTGCAGCCAACAGACTTGCAAAAACTCCACCCACATGGATTGATTGACATGTTGTAGCAACTCTGTGTTAAAAAGTCAAAATTTTTTCCCGTATCTTTTTACTTTCAGACTCCAAGTTTTGTTTCAAGACTAGTTTTAAGATAATGGGTTGTAAACGATAGGACTAGTTTGAAATGTGTTTTTCGAGCAATTAGAATTTGTAAAAAAATGGTAAAATTAGTAAATAATGTGTATTGACAAAGTTGTCAGGCTCACAGAAGAGCGTTGTTTGAGCCAAACTGCATGTGTATAGGCTGGACAGTAGAAGAGATTTACTTGTTTTAGTGTTTTGAAACAAGAGTAGCGCCCCCCCCCAGTGGCTGTTACCCGTCTAATTTCAGTGGGCATTTCTCTTTTAATGGAACACTCAAATATTTAAGATAAAGTTTGATAGTATGTTCGGAAGTGAAAATATTTGTTTAGTTTTTTAGCATTTTCGCTGATACTAATGAAACACTGGATAGTAAATATAAAACAGTGTTACCGCCAGGCAATATATTGGTCAAACTCTAGTATAGACTGTGTTCTGTAAAACTTTTGTACATGAAGAATTTTCCACCATTTATATATTCTGGTAATATGTTCTATTAATTTATATCTATGTGCTTTTCCAGAGTATTATTCTGCATGACTGTACCAAATTTGGTGCAATCAGCCTATGTATGTTTGAGTTGCAGCCAACGAACTTGGACAAAATATTTAAGTCATTGTCGTGTATCTTGAACAATATGTGCAATTTGAAATGTAGGAAAATACAAATTCTTGTAGCCTTTTTCGTAGCAAAAGTATGGCACGTCTTCCTAAGATGGATTAGCATTTGCGGTGTGGATTAAGGGCCACAGCTCATCACACTGTAATTTTTGAGCATATGACTGCAGATGAAGTCTGTGTGTGGGGCAGAGTGAGGCTGCTGTCCATCCACATGTCTGATTTCTGCTCTTATGAGTTGGTCTAATATAGTGCAGTCAAATCCCCACACCACACACACGGATTAGTGAAAGTCTCTTCCTTTTTGGAAAAACTGGCTGGATTTCCAGACCTCGCTCCGTGCCATGATGCTGACAGATGGCACTGCTGTGCTGTGTGTATGTGTGTGTGTTTTCTCATCACCCTGTGTGTGTATGTGTGTGTGTGAATGGAGGAGTTTTTGGCACTCGGTCACAAACCCGGCTGAGATGAGGACATAACCTTTGTGCTTTACAAAACCTGCATGTATGTGTCTGTGTGGATTCGAGGGAGCTGTCCGTGGTATCAGTGGTCTCAGTATGGCTGAGTGTTGGAGCCTTGCAGGGAGTTGCCACTCTAGGTGTCAGAGCCACAGCCGTCTGGCATTGCCAACCTGTCGCCCACTGTGCCCACCTGTCCCAGCTCCCAGGACAGCCCCCGTCTCCACACTCACACACCACCCACAAACTCCCCTCCCAACACGGCTCTGAGCATTCCACCACTGCGCTACACAGAACCCCACACAGGCCTTTGCTATTTAAAGAAATGGTCCGTTTAAAAAAAAAAAAAACTAATTATACACAGTTTTCCACTTAAACCAGATGTAGTGAATCATCCAGGACATGTCTGGTGTCCAAATGTTTAGTGTAGCGCTGGAGCTACAAGGTCAACTTTGCTAACACTTGAAGTCAATAGTCACCAAGTCTTTGATGAATACATCCCCAAAACTTCTCGCATCCAGGTGTTGACTAACTAACATTTAGTAATTCATTTCTTAACATGAAAAATGAACACTGTTATTAACTAATATTAAGGAACAAAGAACAACAGCATAAATATTGTATTTACTTATTTATTCACATTCCTGCAAATTGTCACTGTTGGAATAAAACCTCGTGTCTCAAATTAGGAGAAGGAAAGTGTGTGCGCGTTTGCGCAGCAGTTACATTATCTTTGCATAAACTTAGGACTTAATAATTATAATTATATCATCTTAAGTAATTGTTGTACTGGCAGAAATGTGTTCAACCAAAGGTATGTAAAATAGCTGTACACACTAAGTGAAAACATTTATATTATTAAGTTATAGTAATGCATCAATACCACCTATTAAACATTACTAGACATCAATAAAAATTCAGTCCCTGTGTTTAATCATGCATATTATAAACATGGTATCTAATGTTGTTAATGTTAGCAAATACACTAGTTAATTTTAGTCAACACTTAATGTGAAAACAATATGCAGTTGTTACTTCTTTTCATAATTTTAGCTAACCATTATTAATATACTACCTTGTGTGTCAACAACTGCATTACGTCATTTTTTTATTGCTACAGCTGGGCAAAAACAGAAATGTGCGCAGTCATAAGACTTAATACTGTTCACTTTTACATTACTTATTCTATTTTGTTTTCCATTGTCATTTCTTTTTTACAAACAAAAATGTAACCACTTCAAGTAAGCATATGGAATTTTATGCAAAGTTGAATAGCTTTGTTTAATATTTTTAAAAATTAGTTTAGTATTTATTTATTTATTTGCTATGTCTAAATATGTGTACAGAGTCATGTGTGGAATCCTAGCTAATGACTCTATTTGCCTTTGGTAATTCTAAGACATAATGACAGGTTGTCATAAGGCATAATGACTGATGTTCATGAAAACATCAGCTTTGGACTGTTTTTGGTACATAAAACCTCAGAAAATTCCAGGAAAAACGTAAAATACAAGAATTATTTTGAGCATGTCTGCTCGTGTGAAAGTATGAGAAAGCAACTCATAATAGAATGAGGTGATCTAGTCTCTCTTGAAATAGTGACATTTGACTGTTTTGACATTTATCACATTCATCACGCTGGGTTTGTGATCCTAACTAAGAGCTCTGTCTCTGTGTGTGTATGGATGTGTGAGTATGATGTGGGTCAGGCTGTTCTAGTTTGCTTCAGGCTCTGACTTCAGTCGCTTTGACTTGGACTCGGGCACACGATCACACAAACTTGCTCGCGCTCACGCATATGCGCTTACATATGCCTCCACCCACACTCTCCCACAGCGAGACCACCACTCACTTCGTGCCTCCGCTGCTGCTGATTTGGCAAAAAAGACAAGCCAAACTCGACAATAGCCAAAACAATTTTGTGCCATGGCTGCCTGCCTCTTCTGACTGGCCTGTCCAATTTGTTTATCCAATACAGTGTGTCATATTTTAGCAGGACAGTGGTTTTTTTTATTGTAAGCATTTTTCAATTATTGATGGTTTTTTATTATTTATTTTTTTGTTTTTTTGAGCCAGTAGGTTTAGCCATGTTAACCGTCACTATCCTATTTTTATCATTCACAATGCAGCTTCATTTCTTACTAGGTGTTAAAGCATACCTAGTAAAGTATACTCTTATTAATATTAATGATATGAAAAGGTTGTCAGTACTGGTTGTAAAGAGAGGGACAAAAATCCAATAACCCATAACATCAGCTGATATATTTATTCTTTAGGTTTTGAGTGCTTCAGTATTCAAACAGTGCTGGCTGATATGATCTGTTACTTGTTGGTGACACTTTTTAAACTCCAACAGTAAGAAATTCACTGTTTTAAGTTTGGATACATTTTACATATGTTTCTTCTTTCAGCCGTGATGGTGTTGTGTTCAGATTGACCAGTTCAGCCTGCATCTCCCCAAACAGGGGGTGATTCTGTTTTAGTTTAGTGTATAGAAATAAGCAGTGCTGGTCAGGCTCTGATTTAAAAGTGGTTGATTTTCATACTATAAAAATGTGATATCGGTCATACACAAATTGGGGTGATTTCTGCTGCTCTATTAAAAATGCTATGATATTCCTAAAACTGACAGCCAAGAAAGGAATTACAAAAATGTTCTGTGCCTGAAAGCATTTTACAGTTTGTGTGCATTTCAACTCATTTGTCTTCTAAGTTGTTTTAGCCATGCTTTCACCTGACCTGATCTTTGACCATAATATAACATAAAATAGATATTGGATGATATTTCCTTTTTCACTTCTGCACTGAAATTGTATCATAACAAGTGTAAAAAGCACAGTATATCTCAGTGAAATTTGGGACACCCCTATTTCTTATCCTCATTTTCTAGGGTTTACATCATTCAGCAGCTTTCTCTAAAGCTCTTTTCTTCTTGCATAATGAGCTGCCGTCCCTTTGAAGATAATTTACACATAGCTGTGAGGTGTAGACATAGCATTATGGTGATTAGTAGAGGCTGCGTATTTAAAATGTGCTCTTCGTTCTGGGGTCTTCAGCAGCCGCTGTTTGGATAGGGCACATATTCCCTGCTACGTT